CCAAAATTGAGGGGGTGAAAAATAGCCATGAAAGCACACAATAAATAGCCCTCTTAAAGATTACCAATGACCTAGCCAAGTCTATTGACAGCAATAAATTTGTCATTCTTGTTCTCCTTGACTTTACCAAAGCCTTTGACAGCTTGCCACATGATCTATTCTGCTCAAAGTTATTAAACTTATTCAATTTCTCATCCTCGGCAATTTCTCTTATCAGGTCCTACTTCTCTCGTAGATCTCAATTTGTCAAATTTGGCGAGGATGTCTCGCCACCCCGCCTGCTCAATAGTGGCATTGGCCAAGGTTCAATCCTTGGCCCCCTGCTCTTTTCTATGTTTATCAATGATCTACCTGCTGTCTTGAATGGCTGCCTTTTTCATCTATATGCAGATGACCTTCAAATATATGTAGAAGGTGACCCTTGCAATCCCTCCCCTGCTTTCGATTTGATGAATTCAAATCTCATTGCTGTTGAGCGCTGGTCGCTTACAAATGGCTTGGCTCTTAATCCAAAAAAGTCCCAGGCCATCGTTGTCTGCAAACCTTCTCATAACTTCTCTACTCACCCTCTTACTCTTGGAGGTGAGGTAATCCCCCTTGTGGAAAACGTACGCAATCTGGGCATATTCTTCAATTCCCATCTCACTTGGTCTGATCATGTCTCTTCCTTGCGACGCAAGGTTAATTTCTCGCTATACTCTCTAAGACGCTTCCGGGATGTCACTCCTTATGACACCAGACTCCTTCTCGCCAGGTCGCTCTTGATCCCTCATTTCACATATGGAGCAGAACTCTTCTTTGCTGCTGACAGCGCGTCCATGAGGCAGTTGTCAGTAGCCTTTAACAACTGTACTCGCTACGTCTGTGGTCTTGGGCCCAGAGATCACATCTCTCCCTACAGTAGTGTCCTAATCGGGTGTGATCTCCAGAATCTTCTTAAACTAAGGGCTGTCACCTTCATCTGTCGCCTTCTGGAGACTGGTTGCCCTCGATACCTCTCCTCGCTCTTGGCGCATGGCACCTCGGCCAGGGTTCGGAGTCTATTGGTTCCGAGCTCGTCTACTGAAGCTTATTTCCGCACTTTGTTCGTGTCTGGAGTGTCGATATACAACTCACTCCCTCGCGCTAGTAGAATCTCGGTCAGTGCGATTAGGAGACACTTCCTAGTTGACAATACTGCATAGTCATTCATTAACTTTAAATTGGCTTCATTTATCTTTAATTTCTTTCTCTTTCTTTTTTTTTCTCTATCAAACTCACTTGCAATTTTAATCAGAGGGGCAGACCCTACAAAATTGTAAAGAATTAAATAATAATAATAATAATAATAATAATAAAGACAATGCGAAGCTAAACAAGTTTTTAATTTTTTGATATAGGATTAGTAAGACTATCAAGATCACGGTTTGATTCACTGCGTTAGAAAAATCTAATAAATGAAATTTGAATGGAAATACCTAATCAAAAAAAATTACTTTCAATAAAAATTTGAATATTTTCCAGCAAAATATTTCAATAAATCAAATTATATTCAAATATTTTCTGGATATGTAGATGAAATTTTTTGATTATCTTGCTGTTTTACTTGAAAAATAATCATTTTTTGATTATTTCTTAGTTAAATTTTAATTAAGTACAAATCAATATTTAAAAAATATTTCATTAAGACCATTAAGATTCCTTGGAAATCAGCTCAAAGTTCACGCAAAAGTCCCTTCTGAAATCAATTCACTCCGTAGAAACGATTCAATGGTTGAAAAGACTATTGAAGTATTGATTTTCCATGTTTTTCAATTTAACAATCCTCGAATTCTTCGTGTTTTCTTGCACTTGAAACCGCAATATTGCCGAGTTTTCCCACAAGTTTCTACATCAGCAAAAAAAAGAATATGCTTCGCAAGAGTGATGAAATATTTATTGAGAAGAATCTGATGATGTAAAGTCGTTTGATCTTATTGAATTTGAATATCTCCCAGGCATTCAACTCATAGAGAAACTCTATCGAAATCCTATGCAAATAAACTATTTGTTTTCTTTTTGCTATATACGCACACTTTCGCATATAAATAGCTCCAATGTGGCATGAAAAGGAGACTTTCTGATATTTTCCACTCACAAAGTGGTGGAGATTCATTCCTCTCCCCTGCGCTATCACTGTATACAGACGAGGGTTGCTTTATCCTCTTCAGGGGCTTCTTTCACCAAATGGCATTTCACGAGAGTGCCAACATTCCGCCTCCCCCAATTCTGTCGTCTGGCGATATCCTCGAAAAACCCAAAATGACTTTTTGTTCTGTCGAGAAATTCACACCCAAACTTTTCTTCCACTCCGTGAGAGTTTGGCGCAAAGTGGAAGAGATCAAAAGTGTGTCAACATGGCCTGAAATTTTCTTGATACAAGCACGAATATTGAGTCGTTGCGGTTTTTGTCCACCCCACAATTTTCTACTGTCGCGATGACCGCGTGAAAACACTCGCGAACGACAAACACCGCCAATGTCCTCCCATTCCACCCACAATTAACGCTGGCGGCTTTTATTAAATAGCAATCAATCATGGGGGAGAGAGAGAAAAGACTGGAATTTATTTATCGAAACTGTCACTTTCGTGCGTCTTTTCATGCCACTTCCTCGAATCGACCTATTGACCAATTTTCTCGGCATCTTCACAATAAGGGCATCACCTAATTGACTTTCGGCACGCATTTTGGCACAAAACACACACGTGGCAAATTCACCGTGATCCTGAGGAATCATAAGAATATATGCAGAGTTGTTATTCAAGATTGCAAGACATTCAAAGAGCGCTGAGTTACAGTGGCGAAAAAGTTAGTGAGACATTTTATTTTTTGGGAAAATAAATCCCTTTTATTGTGAAAACTTAGCCTCTTATTATTATTATTATTAAAATTGCAAGTGAGTTGAAATAAAGAAAAGAGTAAGAAACTAAAGATAGATTAAGCCAATTGAAGGTTAACGAATAACTATGCAGTATTATCAACCAGGAAGTGTCTCCTAACCGCACTGACCGAGATTCTCCTAGTGCGAGGGAGTGAGTTGTATATCGACACTCCAGACACGAACAAAGTGCGGATAGATAGATAGATTAGAAAAGGGGGCGGTGCAAGAAGTCTGGCTCCACGGCATCCAGGCTATCTGACGGGCCCTTTATGCGTTCCCGATACAAAATAACAGCTTCTATACAAGGCAAGGATGATTAAGCCAGCCAGTCTTCCGAACGAAGTTCAGCAGACTAGCTAGCTTTAGCCTCGATAGGTTACTTTCCAAGAGTAATGGTTTTCCTAAAAGGATTCTTCTGACATTCACAAATCGAGGGCAGTCGCACACAAGGTGTTTGACCGTCTCCTCCGCTTCATCACAGCCTCTGCAGGATGTGGTGCAACTAACGCCTAGTCTATTGAGATGTTTGTTGAGACAACAAAGTGCAGAAGTAAGCTTCAGTAGACGAGCTCGGAACCAATGAACTCCGAACCCTGGCCGAGGTGCCATGCGCCAAGAGCGAGGAGAGGTATCGAGGGCAACCAGTCTCCAGGAGGCGACAACCCTTAGTTTAAGAAGATTCGGAAGATCACAACCGGTTAGGACACTACAGACCACAGACGTAGCGAGTACAGTTGTTGAAGACTACCGACAACTGCCTCATGGACGCGCTGTCAGCAGCAAAGAAGAGTTCTGCTCCGTATGTGAAATGAGGGATCAAGAGCGACCTGGCGAGAAGGAGTCTGGTGTCATAAGGACTGACATCCCGGAAGCGTCTTAGAGAGTATAGCGAGAAATTTACCTTGCGTCGCAAGGAAGAGACATGATCGGACCAAGTGAGATGGGAATTGAAGAATATGCCCAGATTGCGTACGTTTTCCACAACATTGCTATTATTATTATTCTACACATTGCTAAGAAACCACAAGGTTGAAGGGTTCAACCATGGTTTCACCCGCTGAATCGTCTTTCTCAGATTCAGAGACTTTGGCAGAATGTCGACGTACAGCCCAGGAACTTCTTTAAACCGCTGAACGATGAAGGATCTTTGGTGCTTCTAGCTTTCTTCCTGTTCTTCTTCTGATACGTGAATCCACGAAGCTTCAATGAGCTTCCATCGAACGGTTTCAATAGACTGTGACTGAGGCTTGACTCTTTGACCCTTTTATATCCTGGCGCAAAATGTGACAAGAAATATTCCTGCCTAAGATGTTAAAAACAAGCATTTAATAACTCGAGACGAATGGAAATATCTGGCTTAATCCGTAAGACTCATGACGAGAAGGACTATTTTGAGATAACTTTAAGATTGTCAGCCAAATTTCGAGCAATTTCGGGTTTTTGGCACCTTCGATTATTTGTACCATTTGATGAAAGGTACTTTGGACCTTTTAGCTTGAGATTTCTCTGATTTTCCAGTATTTTACGTTCTATATAAGCATTTGCCTGTTTGTCTGAAGTAAGACTGCAGCCGGGTCTTACAATTAAGACACGCGACGCCACAGAATATCGGTCTTACCGACTCTGGATACAAGGATGTTTGAGAAGAAAGGCAGAAAAGATTTGAACTTTTTCACAGCTTCAGATCCAAATAGCTTCATAACTTCAACACCAAAGGAAAGATTATAAAATTATGTATATTTCTGATTCTAAAACTTAAAATCGTACTTAATAAAAAATATGGAATGTTTGACAATGAAAAGTATGTTTTTTTTTTACAAAAATAAAATGTTTTTAATCACTTTTTCGCCACTGTATGCGGAGAATATACATCAAATATTTCTTTTGAAATTTATAAATTTGTGAAACCACGCGAAACATGCTAAAACCAGACACTTATTGGTTCTCTGGTTTATGCTCTACGAAGTTCATTGCATATTTTATTATACTCACTGCAAATTATTGCGTATTTTGCTGTGAATTTCAACTCAGTCTGCAAGCAAATTCACCCAATTATCTTATTCCAGGGAATTTTGAAGGAAAACCACCGAAAGCAGCACGATGTATGGATTGCTGCTGGAGAATTTGGCCGAGTATGTGAAGACGGTTTATGGGGAGGAACGATGGGAGGAGATAAGGAAGGCTGCCGGCTTGGATTCTCCCTCATTCTCCGTCCATCAAGTCTACCCAGAAACACTTCTCAATAAGTTGGCGAAGAAGTCTCTACAGGTTTGTCATATTTTCCCTTTTTTTATTGCTTAGCAGTGAAATATTTTTGCTCAAAGAAATACCTCTTGAAGCTCTCATATTCTCAGAACTCAGTCTCCACTGATGGACTCTTAAAGTGGGTTTTTATTGCACGATTTGTAACATGGCGGAAAGTTAATATCCGTTCAAGTTTATTATTCGCACATCCCTTTCGTGAAGAGTAGCTGTGAATGACTTTCGTGTAACACATGCAAGTTTACGATATAGTTTTCCTTTGTGTGCCTCAAGTCGACTGTTTACAGCGTGCATTTTCTACGCACAATACGCCTTATCTCCAGCAAAGGGGGAGATAAGATGCCTTCCAAACACTTCCGCAATTCCTCTGCAGAATCTTCAACACTTCAAATTTTAATCTCTTCAAATTCTTCAGATTTCAGACCGTAAAACATGATTTAAACGTCCTAGAATTTGTTCATGAACAAATTCTGTCTTGATTTTCTAGTTTAATCTTCAGAAAATGCTTGAAAAACAATTCTGAATAATTTGTGAGATTATGAATTCTGCCTTAAAATATGCTTCAAGTCTGGAAATGACTAAAAATGGCGAATATCACAATGTTCCCATTAAAAAATGAGGTTAAATTTGCCACTTTAGTTCACAAATTGCAAAAATTACTAAACAAAGTGAATTTTCTTGGAATTTTTTGAGGTTATGATTGACTTTTAAGCTGCTTTCTAACTTAATCTTAAGTTTTTTCGAACGCAAATGCTTGATTTTGCCAAGAAAAGAGAAAAATTTCCAGTTTAAACACAACTTAGATGATTTTGAGGGTTATTTTATCACATAACCTAAAAACAAGCGATTAAATTCATTTTTCTAGTCAAAATAATAAGAAAAAATGCCTAAATTTGCTGAAATTGAAGCTTTTGCAGTGCAAATATTCTTGTAAAGTAAAAACCCGCAAAAATAATCAAGGAAAAGAGATATTTTTCATCATTCAAGTGATATTTTTGAGGTTATGGTTGACTTTTAGGCTTTTTCTCAATCAATATGAAGTTTTTTCGCACAAAAATGCTGAAATCTGCCGAGAAACAGAGAAATTTGATAATTTAATCTGTTTTAAATCAATCACATAACCTCAAAAGAGCGATAAAATTGATTTTAGGGCTAAATTAATCAGGAAAATGTCTCAATTTAATTGAAATTCTACTTCCGACCATAATATCTCCCCCTTGATCTCATGCTTCTGGAAACACTTTTGCAGATTCTCGGCGTGACGGAGAAGGAGTTCATGGACCAAATGGGCGTGTTCTTCGTGAACTTCGTCAGCCAGTATGGATATGACAGGGTTTTGAGTGTTCTGGGACGACACATGCGAGACTTCCTCAACGGGCTGGATAATCTGCACGAGTACCTCAAGTTCTCCTATCCGCGAATGCGGGCGCCGTCGTTCATCTGCGAGAACGAGACCCGCCAAGGACTCACTCTGCACTATCGCTCCAAAAGGCGAGGCTTCGTGTACTACACAATGGGACTCATTCGCGAAGTCGCGCGCCATTTCTACCACAAGGAGATGCACATTGAGCTGGTGCGAGAGGAAATCCTCTTCGACACTGTTCACGTTACATTCCAGCTGACATTCGACAACAGAGCTTTCACACTCGCTTCGCTGGCCATGACGCGCGAGGAAAAACACCTTCCCATCAGTGCATCAGTTCTCTTCGAGATCTTTCCCTTCTGCATTGTGTTCGGGTAAGTTCAATTTCCCCCCCAAAACTCTTCCAAATCGAATGAGATTTCAATCACAGAAAATCTGCGGAAAAGCGCAGAATTTGCAAAATATTAAATTTAGATTGAATGAGAGATTTTCAAATTTATCCACAAATGCATTCAGCGTACATAAAATGCTATTTACTAGAAAAGTCGCTGCATTCATCGCATACCGAGAATCCATAGTTACTCTATTTACCCCACCAAGGGGGAGATATTACGGCTATGCAGTGTACATCACGATTTCTGTGCAGAATCACAGACGCTTTCTGAACATCGGCAGTGCTTAAAACATGCGTTTTCCTTATTTTCTTCTCTGTTTTACGAAACTTTTTAGATTTTTCCAACCGCCTAAAGTATCATAACCTCAAATTTAGATCATAATTGTCTTAAAAAGACTCAATTTTTACTTTGAAAAACTTACAGAGAATCAGTAATTAAGAAATAAGTAAATATATAAATTTTCCAGTGGATATTTTGCTGTGATTCTATTTTAAATTGTTCTTTTGGATACATTTTTGAACATAACCTAAAAATTATATTGCAATATCTAAAAGAATCGTTGAAAGAAACATTTTCAGAATCTTTTATTGAATGATAAATCGAGAATGAGGTGAAATTTGCTGTTTTACAATAGAAAATCAATGAAACAATGCTTAAAATAGAGAATCTTGTGTCCGGTGACAATATTTTAGAGGTTATGTTTAATCATAGCACGATTAACACATTATAACATTGAAAGCTTTTGATCTTCATCAGATTTAATTGGTTATTGTGTCAATAAATTGCAAATTATATCAACTTAGGCGCTAGATTGAATGATTTTGAAGGTTATTTAGTGGTAAATTTGTCTTAAATTAATCACATAACCTAGAAATATGTTAAAAGAAAATGATTTTTCTCCAAATATTGCATTAATTTCTTTTGAAAGTGACTTTTGAATGCATCATATTCAAGATATTGAAACACTTTCACTTCTAAATACTTTTAATAAGCTGTACACCGCTTCTGACCATAATATCTCCCCCTTGTTTACCACAAATCTCTTTCTGCAGATCCGACATGGTGGTAAGAAGCATAGGAAATTCTCTGATGGTGATCCTGCCCGATATTGTGGGGAAGAAAATCACAAATCTCTTCGATTTAGTTCGTCCGCTAATCGCATTTAAGTTCCAAACGGTAAATTAATCATAATTATGGTTTAAAAAATCGCCGGCAAAATGAACTGATTAATATTTTCCCGAAAACATCGCAGATTCTCAATCGCACTAACAACATCTTTGAACTCGTCACTGTGGAGTCGCTGATGGAGCGGCCGAGCGAAATGAATCAGAAAGACGTGCTCAGCAATGACGATGAAATTGAGAATGAGAAGAATTTGCGACTCAAAGGACAAATGATTTACATGGAGAATTGGAGGATGATTATGTTTCTGGGAACTCCTGTGATGCCCGATTTAACGTCTCTCATCAACACTGGACTGTACATCAATGATCTCAGCATGCATGACTTCAGCAGGTGAAAATGGCCGCCAATTTCCACTGTGTTTCAGCAAATTACAAGAGGCAAATCGCAAAGCGACTTTTGAAGAAACCTTTCTTAAGTCAAATAATCAAAAAATCATTATTTTCCCACAAGTTTTCCAAGTAAAATTAAAAAGTAACCAAATTTTGAAACAAATAATCAAAAAAATTTTATTTTTCCAAGTAAAATTAAAAAGTAACCAAATTTTGAAACAAATAATCAAAAAATTATTATTTTCCTAAGCAAAATTGAAAAATAATCAAATTTTGCATAAAGAATAAGAAAAAAATTATTATTTTCCTAAGTAAAATTGAAAAATAATCAAATTTTGAATAAAAGATAATAAAAAATTATTATTTTCCTAAGTAAAATTGAAAAATGATCAAAGTAATCAAATTCTGAATAAAATTTTAAAAAAAAGTTATTTTCAATCAATTAATCAGAATATTCACAATTATTCAATTATATACAAATTTTGATTGAGTATTCAGAAAATAATCAAAAAACAATCAGAATTTGTATGAAACATTCAAAATTTTAATTTAAATCACGAATAATAATAAAAAAAAATGATTGAATAATCACAAAGTTAATGATCTCAACTTGCGAGTGACTTTCCTCTTGGCAAATTACCTTTGTGGAGTGAAAAATTGGAAAAGCACTCGTGCGTACATTGAATCAAGGGAAAGATATCGTGGCTAAAATTTATAACACTTCGCAGAACTTCATAGTTTATGGGTTGCTTATAACAAGACTAAAATTTACTGAAAACTAACCGAAATCTGACCAAAATCTAACTGATAATTTTATAACTCTGATTTTCAGACTCTTCTAAAGCAAGATTTATTCTTTATTTGATGATTTTCTGTTTTTTATTGCACTTTTCGATATTGTATTTGTAAATAGAATATTTTTGGCTTAAAATTCGATTCACTCAAGTGAAAATTTGAGGTTAAGTTTGCTTTGAAACACCTTAGCTTTCAAAATAACGATTTTAAATGACTCAAAATGTGCAATTATACTAATAAAATGAAAATACTTTCAGTTTAGACGCTAGTATTTCTATTTTAAGTTATTATATAGCCTTAAATCAGTCACATAACCTAGAAAAATATGACAAAATTATGAATTTGATGCAAAATCACCTTCTGAGAGTAAAAAAAATCAACTAAAAGTCGAGATTATGAATCAAATATTGCATAAATTGAAGCATATTCTCTTCCTAAAACTCCTTTAGATTTGTACACCACTTCTGACCATATTATGTCCCCCTTGAATGCGATAAATTAGGGGGAAAAATGTAATTTCCTTGTCAATTTCAATTCATTGGTTTGCAGTTATTCATGTCGCTTTATCCAAAACGATTTTGATTAAAATAGAGATCTGATGTTGGCCGGAACTCAGCAATCGGTGGAGCTGAAGTTGGCGCTGGACCAGGAGCAGCAGAAGTCGAAGAAGCTGGAGGAATCCATGAGAAAATTGGATGAGGAAATGAGGCGAACTGATGAACTGCTGTATCAAATGATACCCAAGCAAGTCGCTGATCGATTGCGCCGAGGCGAGAATCCAATTGACACGTGCGAGGTAAGGAATTCGACCCTCTTTTGTCACACGACGACCCCAATTGTGCTAATTGGCAGATGTTCGACTGCGTGTCTGTGCTGTTCTCCGACGTCGTCACATTCACTGAGATCTGCAGCCGAATCACGCCCATGGAGGTCGTCTCCATGCTCAATGCCATGTACTCCATCTTCGACACGCTCACGGAGCGCAACGGCGTGTACAAGGTGGAGACGATCGGGGATGCTTACATGGTGGTGTCCGGGGCGCCCGAGAAGGAGCCCAATCATGCGGAGAAAGTATGCGACATGGCGCTCGACATGGTGGATGCAATTCAGGACCTCAAAGATCCTTCCACAGGTAAAGTTCCACAGTTCAATGCGCAAGTAGAAAAATCAGGCGATATTGTAAGTGTTCTTAGCGCTTTAAATAGGGAAATTTCGAAATTTCTAGCTATTTAATACTCAACTCTGAAGGGGTTGTTAATATTGGGGATGAAGTGTCACTTTTGGCTCAAGATGCGAAAATCAATTTCCTAAAAAACGATTCCTTCTTAGCAAATCTTTAGTTCATTTCACGGTTGTTGTGGAAGAAGAAACAGATATTTTATCTTGTTATCTCTTCAAAATCTTATTAATAAACTATTTGAGCATAATTTTTAAAGAATAAGAAGCTAATTTCTTAGCTAAAAAGCTTACAAACATCAATAATTAGACAATATTCCTTTAAAACTTGATCTTTAATCGAATATTTACGATTTTACGCTAGGTTTTACGATAATAACGAGTTTGAAACTGGAAAAATCTCCTAATTTTGCACAGAACAGAATCTTTAAGAATGCTAAAGAAAATCTGTTGTCGAAAGTTGAGAGAAAACCGTAAAGTGTCCTTTAATCCTTCAATATTCGTCTTAAACTCAACCTCAAATTCCGTTTTCTTCCCACAAAATGCATTTTTCTCACTAAATCTTATGATTTCTGTATTTCAACACAGATTTTTATTTACTTTTTCCATTTTTCTTAAAGTATTTAAAGAATAAAATTAATTTTTTAAATTTCCTTTTATAATATTCTCTATAAATGATTTCCAAACTGGTTGAAAAAAATCTTTTCAACGCTCTAAAATTTAGTCTGAATCTTAAAAGGAGGTTTTTTCGAAACGCAAGTTTCTGAGGCATTCAAAGCCCACATTAACAACCCCTTGATATGAACTCTGCCTATTAAACAAATAGCTTCTTAATGCGATTAATAGAGGAAGATTGGGAAGATGTTGATAGAAAATATCTCAGATAATCAATAATTCATCAGCTTTCAAACAGAATCTGTTAATACTCTAAGCTTTCGAGAATAAACCCCAATAATGAATTATTTCGTAGAGCTTTTAAAAGTTGTGCGGAAATACTTTTACACACGCATCCACTTCGGTGAATTGAAAGCTCTTTAGAGACAAAGACCTGTGATAGGAAGTAATGACTTTCACAAACAATTACAACTAGGAATCTCCCAATTGAAAACTTTCTAAAGCTATCAACTTAAGACAAAAGTTTCGTGGTAAATAAGCGCCATTGCAAACTTTTCGTCAACCATCGTCATTATTAACTTCTCCCTTTGTCACTCTTGCTGTGACACACCTAAATGCCCAGATTTCACATTCGGATTAGCTGTGGATGAAAGCCACTTTTTGGGAGTTCATTAAAGTTTTCTCTCGCAACTGAAAATCAAGCATTTGAAGAGCCCCAAAAGTTCTCCCACCTTTTTTTCTCTTTTGCCATTTTCCTACACTCAGCGAAAAATATCTTCTGATGCAATTAACTACGTCGTCATAACGCGTAATACATTATAAATGTTACGAAGTTTACGAAAAATCAAAGTTTCTCAAAAGCTTCGTGAATTCGTAATAAAATTGTGAGAAATTAACTACGCTCGTAGTAAATACTACAATGGGTGCATTATAACGTTGTAAGCAACCAAATATCATGAAATCAACTACGCCGTAGTTAATATCATAACGTTTTTATGCCGTAATTCTTTTCAGACCAAAGAAAATCAACTACGCTCGTCATGAATATTAAAACGGCGTAATAAAGTCATAATTCAAAGCTTCGACTCCGAAAAATCAACTACGCGTTATAAATACGATTACGCGTTATAGCATTTATTAAGTTTCATTCTTTATCACGGAAAAATCACGTTATAACATTTACAACGCCATTGCGCATAGTAAATAATTACCATACTTTCATATTTTATAACGCGTAATCGTATTTATAACGCGTAGTTGATTTTCCAGACCAAATGAGTGAAACGCTGTAAATATCATAACGCGTAGTGGCATTTATAACGCGTAGTTGATTTTCTGCGGGTAGAAAAGCTTATCCTGGCGCTTTGATATAACGTTTATCCATGACGCGTTGTGGTATTTACAACGCGTAGTTGAAAGCTTGGCCAAAAGCCACGTTATGACATTAACTACGGAAATTTATAACGCGTAGTTGGCTTGATTATTACGACTGGCGTTATGATATTAACTACTTCGTGGTGTATATTATAACGTATTTCCCCTCTTTTCTCTGTGTGTAGGTTCTCATCTGAAAATTCGCGTTGGGGTTCATTCGGGCGCTGTTGTGGCGGGAATTGTTGGTCTGAAGATGCCCAGATATTGTCTGTTTGGCGACTCCGTCAACACCGCGTCGCGAATGGAGTCCACAAGTTTGCCCATGAAGATTCACATATCGGAGTCCACAAAGTCCTTCCTGGGGCCAAACTACAAGATCAACGGGCGCGGCGAGCTGGATGTCAAGGGCAAAGGTTAATTGAGTCCTTCCGCGTGGGTCGATGATGGATGATGTGAGTAATTGGTGGCAATTATTGCTGTCGGCAGGGAACATGAAGACTTACTGGCTGGAGGAGCGCGAGCACAGAAAGCCGCTGACGCCAAACCTCCAGGGGAAGGATCTCATGCTGGCTCTCTCGGCGCCGCACTCCCTCGTCACCACGCCCAGGCGCCCGTCCACCCACGACAGGCGCGTGAGCATCCCACTGTCGCCCCAGAAGGAGCCCGGCACGCCCGTGTCCGCCGCCCCGGACGACAGGAGAGTCTACTCGCCCATCACCTTCCAGGACGTCGCGCGGCGCAGCATCGCCGGATCGCCCGTCAGGAGCATTCTCAGCGGCCGAGGAAGAGGTATTTCCTATTCACAGACAAGGGGAAGATAGTCTGCCTTAAGTTTGTACAACACTTCCTGAACACTTCCTGAACACTTCCAAATATGTTTAATTCCTGCAATGCTTAAGTTCTTGTATGTATCTCTTAAGTTTCCATCCGGTATTTCCATAAAAAAACGACTAAAACCGCTTTTTTTAGTATCTTTTCTGACCCTAACCTAAAAATATCACAAAGAGATCTTTAAAAACCTTGGTTGGAAGCTTTATAGATTACAAAATCAGCTCTTATCATTTGTCAATGAACTCAAAATTTCTGATCCAGAGGCAAAATCGTCCAAAAAGCCTTCTAAATAGACCTTTTCCAAGTTTAAATGACTTTTTTTGAGGTTATGTTTGATCATAGCACAATTTTCAGAGTTTCTTGGCATGAAAAATTCAGAATAAGGTTGTTTAATGCAAGCAAATGCTTAATTTTGTCAATAACTAGCGATTTCACCGACTTTAGCATAAGAATTCATCACTAAACCCACTCTTGATTTGATACATAACCTAGAAAAGAATTATTTTGATCGTTTCTACGGAAAAATTAAGAGAAATCAAGTAATTATCATTTGGTAATGAACTCAAAATTGCTCATTTAGAGGCAAAATCGTAAAGAAAGCTTTCTAAATAAACATTTTCCAAGTCCAAATGACTATTTTTGAGGTTATGTTCGATCTTAGTACAATTTTTAGAGTTTATTTGCATCAAAAGGGTCAAATTGCCAAGCTTTAGTGTATGTAAATGCTTAATTTTGTCAATGACTAGCGATTTAAGTATTAGAATGCTGAATGATTCGTTACATAACCTAGAAAATGATTTTTACGATTGTTTCTATGAAATAATAAAAGGAAATCCAAAGAATTGAGATAATTTGTCAGTAAAAAAACACCCAGGAAAGGAATATTGAAGGTTTCTTAACACTTCCACTTCCGCTGAGCTGTGTACACCACTTCTGATCATATTATCTCCCCCTCGTTCACAGATACAAGAGATTTCAAACTCTGCACATTAAATTCAGCGATTGAATCTCTAAAACGTCTCATAAAAGATTAGATTTGTGCCGTGCCATTGATTAAACAGATAAGCGCAAATCAAAGCTTGATTTTGTCACGATTTCGCTATTCATCTTTAGTAATTTAATACTGATGAACCTCTCACGAATCAATATTTAAAGTCATGCGAGAGAGTGAATTTTGTGGATTTTGTTGAATTCAGGCTTTCGATGGTATTTTAATCCGCAGATATTGACTTTTCGCGCGGTTTTTATCAAACAAAATAACTCTGAGGGGCAAATGAGAATTTATATGACTTATTTCACGTGCATCAATAACTTCCGTTGATAGATAATAAAATATTTTATTGCAGAATCCCGATCGAACTCCACCGGCCATGTATTTATGCACAGTCCGAGTGACATGTTTGGCTCCTTGATCAGCGACACGGAGGACTTCTTCGAGGACCTGCAAACCCACCGAGCGCAGTCGCCGCCATCGCCGCGGAGTCTCTATCATCAGCGCCTGTCGGCGTCCAAAATCAAGCCGCGGCGGCACGCCAGCGTGTCCGGGGATGATGAGCTGACCAGCGGCCACAGCTCAGTCCTGTCCACGCCAGTCATCGCCGAGGAGAGCACAGACAAGAAGAATGCAGTGTAAGGGGAAGATGTTCAAATAAAATATTCAGTGTGCCAAAGGAGTTTTCCTTTCTCTTTTTCACTCTCTCTGTCTCTGATTTTGTCTCTCTCTCTTCTCTTCCTGTCCACAGGCCGAAGGACACGAGCAAGAACACCCGAAAGGGCGCCACAAATCTCACACAGACCAAAACACTCGAACAATTAGACAAAATGATGGAGGATTTCCTGGATTCAGATCTGCCAGGACTCTGTCCACTGAGCTTCGCTCCGCCGCCCAACTCCCACTCCGACGGGAGTCTCTGTGTGAAAGCTCACGCCACCCGAAAGCCCACCAGCCAGAGCTTCAGCCTCCACAACAAGGATCACCAGTGCTGCTCGGGCTTCGGCCAGCAGAACGGCCGGCATCGCGTTCACTCCAACGCCTGCAGCATCGTCTAATGGACAACGAGGACGCGCGCAGGATGTGAGACTCTCAGCCTTCAGGCTCTCCTCGGAACACAGCAAGTCACCAGAAGCACCCTCACGCGCGTGTTCTGCTCACAATTCCACCCTTTGGATGACTGGAATTATCCGAGTCTCATCACAGCTGCACTGGATCAGGATTTCGATGACAATAACAGGATTACAGGTCCTCCCATTGCGTCTCATCGCCGAAAGGCTTTCCCATCAAGTCTCCCAAGGGGGAGATATTATGATCGAAAGTGGTGTACAGCTTGAAAGTGAAAGTGGCAAAATATATTAGAATATTTGCACTGAAAAAGCTTCCATTTCAACCAAATTGATGCGTTTTCCTGATTAATTTTGCTTAAAAATCAATTTTATTGCTTTTTTGAGGTTATGTGAACAATTTAAAACAGGTTAAATTATCAAATTTCCCTGTTTCTCGGCAGATTTCAGCATTTTTGTGCGAAAAAACTTCATATTGATTGAGAAAAGGCCTAAAAGTCAATCATAACCTCAAAAATATCACTTGAATGATGAAAAATGTCTCTTTTCCTTGGTTATTTTCGCGGTTTTTACTGTACAAGAATATTTGCACTGCAAAAACTTCCGTTTCAACAAATTGAAGCATTTTTTTCTTATTACTTTGACTAGAAAAATCAATTTAATCGCTTTTTTATAGGTTATGTGATAAAATAACCATCAAAATCATCTAAATTGTGTTTAAACTGGAAATTTTTCTCTTTTCTTGGCAAAATCAAGCATTTGCGTCCGAAAAGACTCCAGATTAAGTTAGAAAGCAGCTTTAAAGTCAACCATAACCTCAAAAAATTCCAAGAAAATTCTCTTTGTTTAGTAATTTTTGCAATTTGTGCACTAAAGTGGCAAATTTAACCTCATTTTTTAATGGGAACATTGTGATATTCGCCATTTTTAGTCATTTCCAGGCTTAAAACATATTTTAAGGCAGAATTCATAATCTCACAAATTATTCAGAATTGTTTTTCAAGCATTTTCTGAAGATTAAACTAGAAAATCAAGACAGAATTTGTTCATGAATCAATTCTAGGACGTTTAAATCATGTTTTACGGTCTGAAATCTGAAGAATTTGAAGAGATTTAACTTCTTGAGATGGAAAAACCCGGATTAGCTTTGTGATAAGTCAGAATTGAGTGTGAAAAACAGTTGATGGAGTGGAAAAAGCGATGGAAAATGCATTTTTAAGGGCGTTAAGAAGTGTTTGGAAGTGGTGTACACTGTTTAGCCGTATTATCTCCCCCTTGAAGCCTCCCATCGCATAAGAAGACGGAGTTCAAGACATTTCTACATCACTTTGTATCCAATTCCAAGCCATCGGGCATTCAAATTAACGTGGGAGGAAATCGACAAGCAACGAAAATTCGTTCGAAACAAGGGAGGAAGAAAAGGGAATGGAAGAAAAGAAAAGAAAGAAAAATCATCTGATTGAAAAAGAAACACGGAATGGAATACAAGATGAGCATCAGATATTAATCAAGCACAGTTGGATTAAGAGAGGTCCAATTTAGGCGCATATTTAGAGGGTGAAAGAGGTGAATTTGAAGGGATTTGCAAAGGGTTAGAATTAGAGACAAAATGCAAGTCTTTTAGCTGAACAAATTGGATTTCCTGTCGGAGCTTTTGTCCCTAATGGACTGTGACCAAGCCAATAAACCATCCTTTTGTTACACTTTTAACTTTTAAAGGTGCTATTATCTGACAAAGGAATCAATATTCTGAGCTTCAACACTAAAGTTGGCTCACAGATTTTAATTCATACATCACAAAGTGAATAAAAAGTTATTTCTAGAACCACAGAAATACAGATTTTGCGGTCGTTGCAACTTTTAGCTGTCAAAAGTATATGAATTCGTAAAAAGTCGTTGCAAGATTGCAAATCCATAACATTTACTGAAACGCTGAAAGTCAAGAATAGCCGGAAAATTCACGTGACAACCAAGAAATTAGACGATATTGATGTTTTTTAGTTAATAAATACAGATTGATTGGATTAATTTGGCCATTTGTGCACATTTCAATGCCGAAATGTCACAGAAAAAACATTTTCCAATACATTCTAGTCATCAGAATCCTTCAAAAATTCCGTCTTAAATGTCAGGAACAGTTGCGAATGAAGATATCTTGTCAATTTGATTCAATATTTCGCCCTGATGAATTTATTTTCCGCGATAAAAACATTCGTCTATGGAAAATTGTCAAAAACTGGATGACAAAATGACATTTTGACAGCTGAAATTCATGTTAAATAAGCTCTTTGCGTCTGCCTTGCAACGCCTTCTTGTTCGCATTTCATGTAAAGTTGCAACCAACATTCATAGCTTCTACGAACCGAAATCTGTAAAGTTGCAACGACTGTTTAAAGCAGTAATTTCGGAATTTGTGATTAAATAAATAAAATGAAATAACTTTGAAGTCAATATTGCAATTATAATCAATCGTAAATAATATAAATTCCAGAATCAATCAAACTTTATCACTGTTTAAATGATTTAAATGATTTAATAAATGTGATTTTAAGAATATTCAAATCTATATATAAAAAAAATGAAAGGAATCATATTGTTTACCTTGTGGAAACAAATACTTAGAGGTCAGAAGGGTCATCATATGTAATGTAATAATTTATTGTGCGAGTTCGTCTCTCACTCTCAATCAGTTGTATTAGATAAAGTCATTTCCTGAGAGCTTTAACCTAGGAAATAGTCGGTAATTATGATGGAAATAAGTGTGTGAAAAGAGTATTCTAGTGTCTTAATCAATGTTGTTTATTATGTTCAATGTTACAGAGATACAAAAGTGTGTTATCGTTGTCTGTTGTACCACCCAAAAACCCCGTATAAAAAAGGAAAGATTGCAAAATGTGTGATGGATCAAAACAAATTGTGCTAATCAATATTTTTCTTCACATACATAAATAAAAACCATTATTTTTTGGACATTTTCAATGGTGTTTGCAAACACAGAGAATTTTAATGTACAAGAAAGAACAATAAAATATAGCTAATAATAAAAATATCGTCCGAATTTCAACATCCATTTCATTTCCAGTCATTCAAAAAGGGTTCTTCAATAAATGTTTGAAACTGTCTACACATTTTTTTTCTTCTCTCTCTCTACACTGAAATTGATTATAAATAATAAATTCTTTTATTTCCATACATAAATGTAAACATTTTTCAACCCTCTGAGAACTTTAGTGTGATGGATTTGGAATGAAATATTGTAAGTAACTCTTTATCCTCCCCAAAAATGTCTCCTTCAAGTACACACAAAAAGCTAATGAATTCACGGAATACAATGTGCCCAAATGAATTTATTTGCATAAAATATTCTCCAGATACTGTATAATATAAAATTTACAGCTATGCAAATGTTGCCAAAATGCCTTCAAGTGAATTGAATTTTTCGCAAACATTACATTTTTCCAATCCCTTTTTGTAGCTTTTTTGTGGAAATTGCCAAAAAGGCGTGGCATTTTGAGAATAATCATTTAAAGGATAATTTGAATTGAAAACAGCGACAAATACGAACTAACATAGGTAATTTTGAAGTCCTTCTAGCCACACTCATAAAATATCCCCGGAAAACCTATTCTTTTCCCTAATTTTCCTGACATTTAAGTTATTTACGATAAATAGGAATTACAATTGCTCTCACATTCCGCGGAAACATAAATTTGAATAAAATCTACACTATTTATACGATATAGACTAGTATTGTATTTTATCAATCATTTGTCCTAACAATTTCATACTACATATACAGTAGCGACAAGTAGTTTAAGACACCTTTAAAATTTAGGCAAATTTTCCTATTGATGCTGTAGTAAGTAAACTACGAGGGGGTGAATCACCAGCACAGCTGGAATGCCCTTTGACCGCCTGAGCTCTCGCAATCCCAAGGAGGCGCTTTACAGAGTCCCTCTTGCACTCGGCGAGCGCCTGACAGAGCCTTGGAAGCCATGACCGTCCAAGCTGACTAGCGATGCCCGACTGACGCCGCTAGACTAGACTAGACTAGCTCGGCTCTCTTAATTATCCTCTCGGTCCGCGTACAGATCAAGGATAGCCGAAAAGCACACCTCGCTGTACCATCCCAGCTGAACAGTGGTTGGAACGTGATCTTTTAGGAATCCTTCGCGGGAAAGGCTTTAATCCCTAAGAAACCTCTTCGATCCATTTTATCATTCTACAATGCTAAAAATTCGATATTTCTTTCGGATCATTGCCTTACTTGTTTTCACTGATCTGTCGTCCAGTGCCGATATCTTTGGGCAAACTCAATACGTGCTTAGGGGCGGCTGTGGCTCAGTGGTCAACGCGCTTGACTGTTAATCCTTCAGTCGTGTGTTCGAATCCCACCACTTGCAATTGTCTCGAGCACAGTAGAGTGCAAAAATGAAGCGGTTGCTGTTGAATGTTCCAGTTAAAACACATGCTTCACTGTAATTGTCTTACGCTCTGTCCCTATATATAAAGGTGAACGTTTAGAAACACTTATGGTTGGTTGGCAAGCTGACAATTTGCCACCTTAAAACAAAAACTGTGTCTTCCATTGGGACATTAATGCATCTTCCTAAGTAAATAATTAATACGCGCCTTGCGATTCTTTGTACTGATCAGTGGTTTATGTGCCGGTTTTCTTCCAAATAAACCATCTTCTTCCTCTTGCACTGGAAACCCTTCTCGATGGATCGACGAGGCACTGCGCTGAGAATCCGCACGTGACAAAATGCGGATTTGGCGATCCACTCTCTCAGTAGTTTTTCTCTGCCTTCGCACATTTCTCACATTTGCGAGGGTATTGTGCTCGCCAATATGCTTAATTGCATTAATACACCATGTGACGAGATACTTGAAACATTTCAGGTCTTTCAAGTGCGAACTTTCAGAGAAATATGCAGACTAACTAATTTTTTACAGGTTTCTGCAAGTTATAAACATGATTAAATACAATAAATGTCCATAAATAGATCAATTGGTGTCATTTGAATTTAATATTCGTTGTTCTTATCTGCATTTGTAATATCTCGGCTCCGAATTAAGACATCGTCATGATCTAAACGTCATTTGAAGGATCATAAAATTCTGGTCATTTCTTATCTTAAGGTAAATGTCTCGAAAATTGAAAGAAATATCAAATTTTTTGGCACCAAAAGGAAAATTGTCCTAAATATCAAAGGTGTCTTAAACTACTTTTCGCTACTGTATCTGTGTGTCTATGTATCTCGTGTTGTGACGGAGTCTTGCCAAAAATAACAGCACAAACTTCAATTTTTGAACCATACAACTCTAGCATTAGTTTGTAATCATTAATAATTAATCCAGATTATATTAATAATACCGACTGGACTGGAAAGTGGGTCAATTGTGGGAATAATACTGTTCAAAGTTGACTGTAAGTTATCAGTTTTCCCGTCTGCCGTTCCCATTAATGTTCATTGGCAGTTAAATGGCAATTCAATATCCTTATAAACAGTTTGGATATGTATGAAGGTTTGAAAGTTGTTTCAAAGAAATTTCTCAAAGCACTTTTGCCAGAATTGTATTTTCCAAAAATGTCAAACATTCACTAAAATTTCAAATTTGGTTCTTTGAATTCTTATCCTTATAGATTGTAATGTTTTCTTCTCTTTTTAATAAATTTTCTTTTACACGTTACAATATTAGCGTGCCACAAGAGTAACTTTGTCCTAAATAAACTGATCCTACTTTATCCAAGTGTCCAGTAAACGTTTGATTTAACAACTTTTAGTGCATAATTTGTAGCACTTTTACAAATATACAATATTTTCTCTTTTCTCTCCACTTTTGTCTCTTCTCCTCTTATATAAATACTTTCTTAGAGAGAGAGTGAGAGAGAAGACAACATTCATATAAAACCGTCACGAATAAAGGGTCTATCTAAAGAGTGCTGTGCATTACTGGCAAATTCAGTGATCCCTAATGGGAAGGGGATGTGCCTCTGAGTTGAAAACATATTCATCGATATCAATCTCGTTCCTATCGTCACTGAACAGTAGATAGAAGTACTTGAGTGTCTCGCCCAAGAAGAAACTCTCCATCATGTCTCGCGGTCGCGTGTTGAGGACATTCTTCACGTTGCCAATCGACGTGTAGCCGTTCTTCACCTTCGTGTGCTTCTCGAAGGCATTGAAAATGGTCCATCCCATGTCCTGGTACGTCTTGTTGCCCGTGATGACGTAGAAATAGTACAAACTCTCAATGAACTCCGGCCTCAGGAGATTGTGGGCGTCGTTGCTCTTCACGTAAATGTCCTTGTCGCTCTCGCCGTGCAAGTTGAAGTACGTGATTTCGGGCGCAAGCTGCGTGGGTTGCTTCATGTACGTCTGGAAGCACGTCTCCAGGAGATCCTTGGCCAGCTTCAGGTGGCTCTCGGGCATGCCGTGCTTGTGGCCCAGGAGGAGAGTCCCCGGCAGATAGCACGTCAGGTGATCCATCTTGGGCTTAAACTCCTTCCCATTGATCAACTCTCCGATGTACACGTGATGCTCATTGGGCGTCTCTCTCACCAGCTGACTCAGCACACCCTCGATCGCCATGCTGTAGTCCTCGATGAGGAAGTCCTCCTCCTTCTTCCCCATCTGCAGCCACTGCTTCAGCAAGTACTCGTAGTAGCTGTCCGCTCTGGCGCCCAGCGAGATCGTGGAGAACGTCCTGAACATCCCAGTGTTGGCATTGATGAAGATCGGCACGAGTCCGTGTCTCTTCTCCAAGCTGTGGATCTTCTCATTCACCTTGTGGCTCACCGTCTCGTAGATGTCGTCGCCAGTGCTGCGCGACAGATCCCGGAACTCCAGCTGAATCGTGGTGACTTCGCTGGTGGAGCTGTCGGGCGACCACTTGGGCGAGTGCGCCCTCAGCGTGGCCAGATTGACGTCCGAGTAGGGAATGCCGGATTGTGACTCGAAGCACGGCAGCAGACGATTGCCCAGATCCGCCGCCTTCACCAGGAACATCTGCTCCCCACTCAGATGATAAGCACTCAGCAGCCCGCCCAGCACTCTGATCGTCACCTCGAACAGATTCACGTCGCGATTCACCTCGAAGGACAGCCCGCTCTCCACCCACTGGCGCGCCTCGTCGAACTCCTTGCGCAGATTCATGATGTACAGCGTGTCCAGCGCGTCCACGATGGTCAGCCCGAGGCCGAACCAGTCGTGGTGGCCCTGCGACATGGGCTTGAGGTTGTCGTGACCCCACGCGAAGGCACGATAGTTGGTCCAGGCGTGCTGGAAAGCCGCCACGACGGCTCGCTGGCGCTCATTCTGCGGCCCCGCGAACACCTTCGGGCCCTCCTGCGCTGGCGTGCGCACGGAAGTCGGTGGGTTCTCCAGCTCCGCCCTCGCGGTGGCGTCCCTCTCCTCGGCCGCCTCCACGTCATCCGGTGGTCTCAGAATAACCTCTATGGCACCAATCTCCTCCCTCGCCGGCCTCTCCGCCTCGCGCTGCTCCCGCCGCGGCGTCTCCGGCTTGTCCGCACGCACATCCCCCAGCCCCGAGTACAGCAGCAGACTCATGAGCAGGAACGCCAGCAGCACGGTGAAGATGATGTTGCGCTGGAAGCGCGACAGCTGGTTCCACGTCTGAAATGCCATCGCGTGATAAGTCAGAAGCCGGTGCAAAGGCCAACCGCGATCGATACTCACCCGCCGGAGGCTCCGTCTGCCCGTCGCCGCCTCCCCGGACGTGGGCAGAAGCAGCGAGATATGATCCCTATTCAGTTTAAGCATACTATCACAATTATCAGTGACTCAATCACAAAAATCCTAAAGAACAATCACAATTCTTCTCAGCGAGTCTCTTTGCATCATCTCATGGGGGCGCCCAAAAGTTTCGAAAAACCGCCACCAATTCACACTCCGCGATCGCCCCGCATTCACCCGCTCACAGTCTCTCGTTCGCACGCCAAATGCCCGCTGCCCATTGCCTGTCCACTGGCGGAGCGATAATTACACATTATTCGCCACGACCTCCCCATGAATGGCCCATTTTTTGCTGTTTTTCACCACACGTTCCAGTTCAACGCACATCAAAACTTTTTTGCGACTCGCACTGTCAAAATGACGGCACAAAGACCCGCCCAATAAGGGATTCTTCCGCCCGCGCACGTCGCATCGTCAGATTCGTCCACTCAGTGTCGTAGGACATGGCCAAGTTCAGTGCATTCCTCTTCCATTTCTGATTTTAATACGAAAAGAAATAATTACTAATTGATTCACAGGGAAATTGTAAGGAATTTGCAGGCGATTGCCAAAAGCCTATTTTGTATGGAAAAGTATGAGACCGCAGAGGTTATGTTTGCAATGGCTCTTCATCAGATTGACCTCCACAATAAAAAAAATTAGAGCTTACATTCCTAAGTTCGGAAAATTTGGGATAACGAGAATCGAAATCTCTGCAGTAGTGAAAATTAGGTTAGGACACTTATGAAATTGAGGCAGATTTTCCTTTTGGTGCTAAAAATTCGATATTTTTTCGATTTTCCAGACAATTTCATTAGGCCAAGAAAAATTAGAATTCAATGATCTTTCAAATGGCGTTGAAATCATGGCGATATCTCAATTCGGGGCGAGAGACAGCGGAAATTAAGTTAGGATGCTGCATATTTTGCACTAAATCCATGTTATAATCATAATACTGCCTCGGTTAACTACATAAAATTATGATTTTAGAATGTCCAGAAGACATTTTCATCAAAAAGCGCCTTGATTTGAACTTATCAACTTGATTTTTGAATGTTTTTAGCTACTGTTTAACGTTTTTGTACCATTTCTTAATTTGTTACGCACAACCGCGTCCCAAATCCTGTTCATAGATTTTTTTTTTACGAGATGTAAAATATGAGGCCAAGTTTATCGTTCAAGAACACTCATGTAGCCATGAAAATTACAGCATTTTGCTCTCTTACATATTGCTCTTTTAAATCTCTTTGATACAAAATCCCTAAAATCTCTTCAAAAACTACGGATCAGGCTTTGTGTTTCGAAGGAAAATGAAGGAAAGTAAATTTTCTTGCAGAAGTCTCAATCAGTAGCGTAGCAAAGCATCTGTTTAACTATTTTTCGTGTCACATTTTGTGCAGAGATGCATTTAGAAGTCATTAATAAATATTTTTGGGCGTTTATTGTGTTCTAGAAGACAGAAAATCAATAAAAACTTTGATAAATTTCCTAAATTTCTCAAAAAATAATCAATTCTGTGAACGTCTCTGGCACACATCGATTAAACATCGAGGAATCTCATTTTTATTAACACATTTAAAGGTATTGTAAGTCAGAGAGCTTTCTTGTCTGTCGATGGTCGGCGGACAAGTCGCGGTGTGACGCAAGTTTAACGTTGTTGCAGAAAATGACGAAATAAAGAGGCTGCGTATATATTTGTTGACCATTTTCGGGGGTTTTTGACTCTTTCCATCGCCTTTTTCATGTGAAAACTCGTGCACAAAAGCCTGCAGAAGAAGCAAAAATGGCTCAAAAGACACCAGTGACTCTCCTACAGGAGCTGTGCACGAAGAACAACGTGACAGTGCCTTTCTACGAGGAGGCGCCGAGTGAGGAAGACAAGATGTTTACAATCCGCGTTCAGGTTAGGAAATTGCGATGATTAAAAAGTGTTCCAGGGACTCCAGAGGCTCCAGAGGCTGTATTTGTGTGGCTTTTCCAGGCTTGTGAGTTGTGGGCGGAAGGCAGTGCGAGATCGAAGCAGGAGGCCAAGCACGAGGCGGCCAGGAATCTGCTGAGCGCCTTGGGATTCGACGTGCAGAGTCTGGGATTGGCGGTGACGGAGAAGGTGAATCGGGCGGATTCTGACCACGTGAAGACTCTACTGGACATCTGCCTCACGCGGGACTTGCCGATGGCCCAGTTTCACTGCATTGACGCACGCGGACCGTCTCACGCGCCCGCGTTCACGCTGAAGTGCGAAGTTTCGCAGCTGACCAAGACGGCGACGCACTCGACGAAGAAGGGCGCGAAGCAGCTGGTGGCCAAGGCGATGATTGAGCTGATACAGGAAATGTATCCGGACGACCAGAAGATCCTCGTGCCGCTCGCCATGGCGGCGCAGCAGAGCCAGGAGCGCCAGGACAGAATCTTCAAAAGCTATCGCGATTGGAAGAATTCGGATTCCAAGATTCTGCCGGGAGTGAAGCTGGCGGACAGACATAACTACTTCGTGAATGTGCCGGCGGAAACGTACGCCAGGGCGGTGGAAGTGCTGCAGCGGGACGAGACGGACAAGGAGAAGGCGTTTCTGCTGGCCAAAGCGCTCGGCCACGAGCTGAAGACGTCCAAGGAAATGGGCGAACAGGGCGAATTGGTGATTCTCGAGATGTCCTGCGACTTCGAGACGTGCCACTTTGGCTACGAGCAGCACGTCTACAGGGACTTCATCTCCTACATGACAGTCATGATGAACTTGAACTGCCGCTCGTAAACACTATTGATCAATCACGAATTCCTCGCCTAATGATGCTAATTTCTAATCAATTTAACACGATGATTTACTGAATTCACGCCGAATACCTGAAATACCCTTAAGGATTAAAAAGTGCTGTGGTGATTTAGTTCAGAAAGGGAGGAATTTCTGATTAAACCTTTTTATCTTATAGATTCTTGGATTCTTTTTTCTCATTTGTATTTGCTTCTAGTTAATTCTAGAAGCGCAACTTTATTCTGAAATAAAAATCTATTCATTCATTAAACTACACTTTCAAAAGCCACGAATTGAAATGTTTTTTAATCATAACGATTCCCAGTGAAACAGAAAATGTTAAAAATGTGTTATTTTCGTTTAACACATTCCTTTACTATTCTGAGTAACACGAAAGGTTTAAAATATGAATAAAGTGGTGGACAGATCAAAAGAAGTTGAAGGAAATGAAAGTGTTTCAATTTATGCAATATTTGGTTCTAAAACCTCGATTTTCTGTTGATTATTTTACTCTCAAGAGTTAATTTTCTATCCAAGTCATAATTTTGCTATATTTTTCTAGGTTATGTGAGAGATTTAAGACTAAATAACATCTTGAAGTGGAAATTCTTCTGCCTAAATTGAAAGCATTTTCACTTTATTAGCAGAATTGCGTCTTTTTACACATAGATAATTTATGATTTTAGGAAATAATGCTAAAGTGCAACATAACCTTAATTAAAAATAGTTAAAAAAAAGAAAGAAAGTTAATTAAAGGATTATGATCAAGAAAAATGCGCAAACGTGCAATTTTAGTGGAAGAAAATCATAGAATCGTGTGTGAAAACGTAAGTTTTAAAGCTTCCAATCAGATTTCAGTTAGTTTTCAGTTAAATTTTAGTTTGATTTCAGTTAGATTCCAGTTATTAATTGATTTTGAGTCTTGTTAGAAACAATCCATGAAGCCTGAAGTCCTGAAAAGTGATCAAAGATTTATCGTACAAATTGTGGAAGTGTCAAGAAATGCTGTAAAGATTTTAACCATATTATTATCTTCCCCTTGATTTGCGTCTTTCTTAGCGTCTTTCTTCACTAACTGCTAAATCCAATATGGCTTCCTGCTCTAATTCCAACTCTAGCGCCCTCTTATTGTAACATATAACACTATTTATCACTGATTTACTCATTATTTTCTGGTACTTTAATAATTTTGACAAATTTTATCACTTTGAAGTTCTCAACAATGAATTTTAATCAAGTTTTAATACAATTTTAGGAGAAAATACAGTTAAAATCGAAAATTTAAGGACATAATGAGTCAATAATGGTCCACATAATTTCCATTTTTCCCCTAAAATTGTATTGAAAAGGAAATTTCAGGAATCTGAATTTTAAACTTTAACATGTTTGAAATTTAACATTTCCCCGTTTTACTGAGAATCGCTCCGAAAGATTACAATAACTGGGAATTCTGTAAAACATCCCAACGGCATGATAAGCATTTCCTTCTCCTTTGCTCAAGTCTTTGCTTAAAAGACCAAATCTTGCCTCAGAATATTCCAGTCATGGGGCAGAATTTGTGGATCTCGAAGGACTTTCTGGCCTATCGTGGTGGCCACAATGGATCGACTTTCCGGGCGCTGCGCCCCGTTTTTACGGTGGCGCGGATATTTTCCCTCCTGCCCGTCGGCGGGGTTTTCGGGGACTCCCTGATGGATCTGCAGTTCAAGTGGTTCACCCTCGGGATCCTTTACTCGCTGATCGTGATCACTTTTGTCGGCTTCATGACGATAATCGCAGCGCTGAAGTTCCTGGAAGAATCTCTGACGTTCAACAACATTGTCTCCGTGTTCTTCTATCTCTACAACTTCTCTGCCATTGTGATCCTGGTGAGCATCGCCAGGAAGTGGCCTGAGCTGATGGTGTATTGGCACACGGTGGAGAAGAATCTGCCGCAGACGGAGCATCTGTGCGGCAGGAGATCTCTGCGGACGCGTCTGCATCAGCTGGTGACTTCTGTCCTGCTCCTGGCGGCCGTTGAGCACGGCCTGTCCATCGCGGCGACCATTGAGAAGTCCCACAGATGCCTGAAGTTCCACTCAACCTACCTGGAGCACTACTTCCGCGAGTCCCTGCCGCATCTCTTCATGATCTTCAACTACCATCCGCTGCTGGGCTGGTTCGGCTACCTCATCAACTTCTACTGCACCTTCGTGTGGAACTTCATGGATCTCTTCATCATCGCCATCAGCATCGCTCTGGCCACGCGATTCAAGCAAGTCAACGCGAAGATCGAGCAAGCGCGCGGCAAAATCATGAGCGATCTGTTCTGGAACACTCAGCGGAATCACTATCAGCAGGTTTCCACGCTTGTCCAGGAAGTGGACAACGTCATCTCCAGCCTCATCTTCCTGTCCTATCTCAACAATCTCTACTTCGTGTGCGTCCAATTGCTTCACAGCCTCAAGTGAGTCTTTCCCTCCACTTTGACCGTTAAATTTGTGGTTATTCAATCGTTTGTTTGAATTTTCAAAAGTTTAATTAAAAATTTTATATCAAAAATAATTTAAATATTTAATAATCGTTTAAATTTCTTGATTATTTCCTGAATATTCAATGAAAATTTGAATGCATTTCAATATTTGATCAGCTTTTCCACATTTAGCCTTGCATTTTGCCACCAGAGGGCAGCAGTTTAAGCTCTAAAGACATGTAAAAGTTTCGATTGTAGTTCCCAAAGGCAAATTCAACTCTGAGCTTGTGCTAATTTGTGGATTTTCTCTATTTTTTATCTTTTTGTCTCACATATTTTGACTTTTAAGAAATGCAAATTTAAAATACAATAAAAAAAATTGTATTATATGTCGAGCGTTGCTCAAGTTGGAGAAAAGTGTTTTCCATTCCTTAGATTTCCATATGCATTCCGTTATCCATTCCTAATTCAAACTTAGGCGTTCGAAATAATCTAGACAGACTTTTAGATCGTGAAGTCGCGAGTTCAATTCTCCTGCAGTTGCGTTTTTTTCACAGATTTTTTCACTTTTCTTTCCGTTTTTTCAGTATTTTCCTTGATTAAATATCATATTCTCTTCAAAAATTACCCTTTCTGACGCTCGGAATTGCTTTTCCCTCAGAGAGAGAGAGAGAGAGAGAGAAAGTTTTCCCCTTAACTTTCTGTTTAACATTTTATTGTCCATTCTTGGGCTCGAAACTTTTCCTAAGAAATTCTTTTAAAGCCTAAAATATAATTTTCCACAATACTCATTTGGAAAAAAGCTAATATTGCATGTTCACGTTCTTTTCCTTCGCAGATTTGTGTTAATAAGTTCGAATCCAGCTCGCGTCAAGTTTTTTTTTCACTTATTTTCCTGTTTTGGCCTTTTTTTTAAAGAATTTAATCAATTGGCTTATTTGGAGAGTTTAAACGCTTCCCAATAAATAATTATCCATCACAAACTCTCAATTATTTGTTGAATATAATGCAAATATTTAAATTTATTTGCTTTTCAAAATCTAATTTTACGGGAATTTGGAGGCGTTTAAACTTTCTTTTGCCTTTGGGAACAACAATCGGAACTTCTAAGTGGCTTTAGAGCCTAAACTGCTGCCCTCTGGCAGCTAAATGTGGAGAGAAACATTAAGATTCCTCAAAAATCAGCTTCAGACTTTCCTTTTGTGCTTTCCTTACGCAACAATTGCGATAAAGTGAACTATTTTTCTTCTCTTCTTTTCTCCAGTCCAATGGAGGATTACATTCAAATAATCTACTTTTGGTATTCACTGATTTTCCTCATTCTGCGAACCTTCGGAGTCTCTCTGTACTCCTCGAAGATTCACGATCAATCCAAGAGGCCGGCAGAAGTCATCCGATCAGTGCCAACGCCGGGCCTGAGCAGGGAAACTAAGCGATTCCTCGAGGAAGTCACAAATGAACATGTCGCGCTCACGGGGAAGAAGTTCTTTCGCCTCACCAGAAAGCTCATTCTCAAGGTAAACAATCTTACAATTCTGCGTAAGCAAATCTTAGAATTGATCAAAAGGGTTTAACTTATCAGCAGTCGTTGCAACTCTACAGATTTCGTATTTCAGTTCGTAAAAGCTATGAATTTGAGTTGCAACTTTACACTTTTCATAGTTTAAATTGTCGGCCGCCTAGCGGCGCTAGTGTAAAGTACAAATGAAGTATGAACGCCTCGGCGATGAAAAGCGAAATTAAGAGTTTATTTAATATAAATTTCAGCTGTCAAAAGTAATTTCTTTGTCCCTAATTTTAAGCTACTGATTTGAGAGTATTTTAAGCGCAGATTAGTTCAACTTCCGGCCAGTTTCTGTCCGTTTTCCTCCATTTTGACGTAAGAAAATGTCCTTGAGTGTTTGTGAAGCGTTTTTTTCCGTTTCCTCCCAAAACTAATCTACAGAAACTCAACAGAAAAGAATTACAAAGGCTTTGGAAAATCAATTAGTTTCGTTGGAAAGACTCTAAGGATGTCCGGAAACACATAACCTCAATCTGGTGCATTGAAATGTGCACAAATGGCCAGATAAATCCCAAGGGGAAAGTCAGTTGCAAGTTGAGACCATTAACTTTGTGATTATTCAATTTTTTTTCAATTATTTGCTTGATTATTACTCAAATTTTCATTATTTCGTACAAAATTCTGATTATTTTCTGTATATTTAATAAAAATTTGTTTATTTTATACAAATTCGGATTATTTTTTGATTATTTCACACAAATTCTGATTTTTTTTTAAATTATTTGTGATTTTGATTCAAATTTTGATTATTTTTCAATTTTACTTGAGAAAAAATTCAGTTTTTTAATTATTTAGTTCAGAATTTGATTATTTTGAATTTTTTTTTGTTATCTTACTTTGGAAAATAATAACTTTTTTTTGATATTTTATTTAGAATTTGATTTTTTTTCTCAATTTTACTTTGGAAAATATTTTTTCTATTATTATTATTTTATTCTAAATTTGATTATTTTGCAATTTTAATTTAGAAAACAATAATTTTTTGATTATTTTGTTCAAAATATCCTTGAGAAAATATTCCTTTTTTTATTATTTCTTTCAATATTTGGTTATTTAGATTTTTTGCAATCTTATTTGGGAAAATAATAATTTTTTTCAATTATTTTTCAATTTTATTTCAGAAAATATTAATTTTTTGATTATTTGATTGAAGAACACTAAGTTTCCTCAAAAATCGCCTTGTGATTTGCCAAAAAAAACCATCAAGAACGTCTGTTTTCTTGGTTGTCACGTGAAATGTTATGAATCGCAGCTTTATGAATTAATAACTTTGACAGCTCATATTTAAAATGTTAACGAAGCAAAGTTGCAACGACTTCTTAAACTGAAAATACTGATTTTTCAATATCTGGCTTCTTCAGATCACTGGAACGATCGTGACGTACGAATTGGTGCTGATTCAAGTGAGTCCTGGCGGAAAGGTGACAACAGATCACGCGGGAAATCCAAATCTCTGCCGATAGAATTCATAAATTGTGATTAAGACAGTTATTTGTATTTTCTCATGAACATATAAGATTTTCCTATCAACATTTTCTTCTATCCACTGATTTCCAACTCTCATTTTAATACATTCTATCAGTTCGGCAAATAAATTACAAATTCTACTTAAATTTATAACAAAAGAAGAAAAAAAAAACTGAACAGAAAAAAAGAAGTTTTCAGACATTTACAATGTGTGTTTTTTTAAAAGTGATTTTTAGCAACTATTTTATATGAGAGACTCTGTATTGATATCATTATGACTGAAAGTCTCCGGTCATTTACACCTTATTCAATATTAAACATTTTATTGTCAACATCCCACCGTCGTCTTGAGAAGACTGTCTCACAGTCAGTGAGTTGATTTGTGGCCTCAATAATTGATCAGTTGTTCCTCTTTCTTAATTGCCGGAGTATTTGACCTGTGGCTTTCACGCACTCCTCCGTGACTTCCTAATGCTTCCTGTCGATCCCGAGAATGGCTTCAGCCACGCCCAGGAAGTAAACCATCTGGGCGATGCCAAAGAGTGGCGCGATGACAATCATTCGGCACAGGCCGCCCTTGAAGAACGCCGTCACACCCTCGTTCCGGAAGGTTTTCCTGCAACACAAGAAGAGATGTTAAAGAGAGAGAGATTCAAGCTGAGGGCTGAGCCTTGAAATTCGTCAAAATCAGAATCAACAATTTTGAAAGTTTCGTGAGTCTTTTGAGTCAAAATCAGGGAAATGCGTTCGGAACGCAAGCAGAAACGTCTTTTTCTTGTTTTAATTTGGGCCAAGTTGCGGTGTTTGAGGCAGAAAATGATAAAAATGCTCCTCAAACTTAACTTTTACCCCCAAAGAATCATCATAGGGTGTCTTCTTACCACCTAAAAGTGTATGGTTTTTCATTGAATTTCAACTGGCTCTCGTTCTACGTTAGGGCGCTCTCTCTGAGGCGCTACCCGTCCCCGGATCTAGGGTCCACGGGTTTCCTAGAAGTGTCCTAAGAACTTTTCGCCCCATTTCATTGGGGGTGGTCCGGGGGTTGGGGTGGTTTGGGCTCTTAGAAGCAGAAAAAGACCCTGGAAGAAGTGCTTAAGGCCAGGATTCAGGAAGGGTATCGGGGTCAGAAATCCCAATTATGCTCAAAAGGCTTCAGTCTTGCCCTATGAAGCAGTTTATGGGCATTGGGCCCCCCGCCCTATTGCGGAGGAGCCATATTGGGTGATCATGTTATGCAAGGCAAAGACCTTTAACAGTGGGGCCCAAGGAGGACCGAGGCGGGGTGTGGCGACGGTAAATGGTTTCTGGGCTCAAAATGAAGGATCCTTATGATTTTCAGAATTTTCCGATTTTTTTTCACTGAGATATAGTGAAAATTCCTAAGTGGATCTATAATTAGTGCCAGGCCAGAAAGTGATAAAGTTCCCTAGAATCCCTAGGATCCGGCGGAGGGGCCTCATATTGGGGGTTTTGTTTTGGCTATGGATAGGCAATCAAACGCCATATTTGATATTTTTTGATTTTGCCCCAGACTACCTACAGTGGACCTATAATTAGTGCCCACGCTGTATAATCACTATTTTCTATCCGAATATCCACACTCAATTTTTACATTCTCCGTCTCTGAGCCTCTATAAAAAGTGAAAATTATCAATATAATATTAAAAACAATTAAAATAATTATTCCATTATCCATTTCCGATGCCATCGCTGGCAATTTGATACTTAAATTGCAGTAGAATCTTAAAATTGAGACATCGAGCAATCGTGTTGACTCGATTTTCTCATGTCAACACGAGTTGATTGATTTTGAGCCAATTTTGACTGGCAAATTTCTCAAAATCACTCAATTTCCACTGATTCTGACTTTGACGAATTTCAAGACTCAGCCGTCTGGGATTTTGGCGTGTTCTTCTCACATTATAGCATCGCTGATGCCATTAAATGCCACTTCGCCTTCGGCCTTCTTCAGCGCCTGAAGTCTCGTCTTGACCACATCGAAGGGATTCACGACCAGCGCCGCCATGGAGCCGGCGGCGCATCCCGAGAGGAAGGAGCACCAGAACACCGCCTCTCCCGATCCGTCCGCCTTCCGCGGCCCGAGATCGTTCAGCGTGGCGAAGAGCGGGAAGTACACGATGGAGAAGGACACGTCGCGCAGCATTGTGGCGCCAATGCCCTTGTACAAGCCCATGATGCCCTTCTCCCGCAGCAGATCCAGCGCCAGCTTCGTGGCCGACGTCTTGGGCACCGTCTTGCCGGCCAGCTTCGCCTGCGCCGCCACACGCCCGGCGTCCTGCATCTGGATCTTCAGCAGCTCCATCGGCGTGGTGATGATGATCTGACACAGCCCGGCCAGACCGCCGGCCGCCATCTGGCGCGTCACTGGCAACTCACCGGCTTTGGTGGTCAAGTGGTGACGGAAGAAGTCATTGGCGGCCAACTTGATGGCCTTCTCCGGCGTGATGAGCAGAATATTCACAGCACTGCCTCTGTACATCCCAAAGTAACCCTCCGCCTTGTACGTCTTCTTGAAGCAATCAAACCTAGAAGGGGTGGAAAAGAGTGTCAATCTCTCTCTCCCCCAAAGGAGCCACAAAGGAGCCACAAATTCCCACCCCGAAACTTACATTGATTTGTACATTCGCTCCCCATTGGGGCCCACCTGTTGATTCTGCAGGCGCGTCTTCACCAGATCCAGCGGAAAGACGCACGACACCCCAATAATTCCCGCAATCCCGCCATTGATAATCTTGGGCACGAGTCTGCAGGAGAAAAAGACATCCTTTATCAAGCATTGAGGGCGGCTGTGGCTCAATAGTCAACGTGTTTCACTCTCTACAGTCGTGTGTTCAAATCCCACCGCTTGCAAATGTTTCAACCACTGTTGTGCCTTTACATGGTAAAAAATACCTCTTTACATTTTACACGTAAAGAATGTGTAAAAAATGCAAAATGTTAAGTAAAAGTTAAAATGCGAGGGTTGCTCAAATTGAAGAATGGACGAAAATCTCACATTTTCGCGCCATTTTCCTTCCATTTTCACACTCTCTCTGTGATTTTCTTAACAACCTTCAAAGTTTTTATAGCATTTACAACATTTAGAATAGTTTCAAGGCCCAGAATAAACATTAAAAGCGGCTAAAAGGAATTTAGGAGTGAAAACTTAGTGAGATAAAAGCAATTTCGGGCGTCAGATGGCGTTATTAGAGATAATTCTTGAAGAAATTGAGGGAAAAATGTCGATTAAAAAGGGATAAAATGAAGGAAAATACACGAAAAAGGCAAGAGAAGTGAAAAATAGATGTGAAAAAAACCCGAATTGAAAGAGAATCGAACCCGCGACTTGACGATTTTCTGCTGAATTCTCTTAAAAGGAAGATTTGCGCTGGAATTCCTGCAAATCTTCCTAATTTAGACAATTTCCAAAACTCACTTTTGAATTACTTTTGAAGAGAAAGAATATGTTTCAAAAAGAATGGATTGGAATGGAAAGGAATGGATTGTGGAATATTGGTGGAATTTTGAGGAATGGAAACCACTTTTCTCCCCACTTGAGTAACCCTTGGGATCTATTGTAATCTATCTGTCTATCAAGCATTCAAAGCGTCTGTGTTTTGACCAAATGCTGAAGAAAAGCGCGTATAAATAAAATCCCGGGAAATGGAGAGTGTGTGGATCAAGGCGGGAGTGTTTTCTGGCGTCTGGCCAGAAAATCACAATCACGGGTTGGAGTTGAGAGACAAGCATTCAAGCAATGAGCCAGACAGAGAGTTCAGCAATTTCTCAGACTTTTCACTGTCATCAGCTTCGGGATGCGAGAATGAAGTGCATTCGAGAGATTCGTGATATGTTCAAAGGGTGAATCATTGATGAATGTCAGAGATTTTCATTTACTACTAAATCTATCTAATCTCGAGATTCGCGATCAATCAATTTACCTCAAGGGGCATATATTACGATCGGAAGTGGTGTACAGATTTTATGGAAGGATTCTTGTACATTAGAGGCATTTTCTAATTTATTTAGCTTCAAAAAGTCAATTTAATTACTTTTCTAGGTTATGTGATTGATTTAAAATAGATTCTGGTGTTCAAATAACCTTTAAAATCATCTAATTTGTCTTTAAACTGAGAAAATTTCTGTTTTTCTTGGCACAGTTGAACATTTACGTTCGTAAAACTTCAGTGGATCAATTTTAGTAGTATAAAACAGCTTAGAAGTCAATTATAACCTCAAAAACGTCATTTCAGTGTCACTTTTCTTAGTTATTTTCGATATTTCTGTGTCTTAAAGTGACAAATTCAGCCTCATTTACTGATAGAAACGGTAGAAACATTGTAATATTCGCTATATTTACTCATTTCTAAGTTTGAAAGGATCAAAATGAGGCCAAGAGAGAGTTTTAAACCGAATTCAAAACTTCACAATTTAATCAGACGTTTTCTACGCATTTTCCCATGACAAAACTAGAAAATCAAGACAGAAATTGTTCATAAACAAACACTAGAACATTAAAATCATTTCATATAATCTGTAATCTAATGAGTCGTTGCAACATTCCGGATTCTTGAAGAGTTCTGCCGGCCAAAATGTCCAGGAAAATGCTTTGGAGAATCAATTAATGTCTTCGGAAAGGCTCTAATGATGTCCGGAAGCACATAATCTCAATCTAGTGGTTGGAATTGTACACAAAATTACCAGAAAAAGCATCAATATTGTGTATTTCCTCGGTTTTCACGTGAGTTTTCTGGCTCTTCTTGTCTTTGCGCGACGAAAAATAACGTTTGAAACGTTTCAAGTCTCGCAGAAGATAAATTTCCCACATGAGTAACCAAGGGGGAGATAATACAGTCAGAAGTGGTGTACAAACTCAGCAGAAGTACTTAAGAAGTGGAAGTGTTGAAAAGTCTACAATATTTCTTTCCTGAGAGCAAATTTTACTGACAGATTATCTAAATTCTTTGAAATTCCTTCGATTTTCACGAAAATTAAAAAAAAGTCTTTTCGAGGTTATGTCATGAACCAGGGACAAATTAAGTGAAAAATTAATATTCTATCAAGTATTCTATTGGCGGAATTAGATATTTATATGCAATAAACAGTGCTTTTCTGAACCTTTGATGCCAAGAAACACTGCAAATTGTGCTAAGATTGAACATAACCTCAAAAATGGTTTTTTTTTGACTTGGAAAATGTTCATTTAGAAAGCTTTTAAAGCACTTTTGACTCTGAATCAGCAGTTTTGAGTTCATTTTGTGATCTAGAATGCACCGGAACGGAGTATTTGATGATCTTTTAGATATATTTTGAGGTTATGGTCGGAAAAATGCCAAAAAATGCATTTTCAAATCGATTTTCACAGAAATTTTGAATGGAAACTTAAGAAATTCAATAAAATTTAAGCTCTGGAAGTGTCAGGCAAATTCGGAAGTGTTTGGAAGTGATGTACAGATTAAAGGCATATTATCTCCCCCTTGTTAGTAACTGTTATGAATCGTAATCTTGCAACGACTTTTGACGAATTCATATTTTTGACAGTTTATTTAAAATGTTACAACGACGCTTAAGTCTGAGTCTTAAAACGTTCAGAAGTGTCTGAAGTGTTGAAGATTCGAGGAATATTATCTGCACCTTGATTTAACCCGGGTTTTTGACGATCTTGACCCAATTGGTTGTGAATGAAATTGTAATTTACGACATTTCCAGATGATTTGCATACGAAACGCCCTGCAGTTGCGCATCTGTGGAATGTCTCTCGAACACCCTGTTCTTGTTCATCAATTCCCAAATTGAAGTGTGGCTCATGTTGGACGCGCTATCAGTCGCTCTTCTCATATCACTCAAAACAGACAATAAATTGTTTGCTCGCCACAGATAAACGCGCACTCAGAAGCAATTATCGGGAAAATGTCAATGAGCAGATTGAGAATATACAATCAATTTGGAAGTTGGCGAATGAGTTAGATCAACATTCACTCGATCGGGAAACTCTTGGCTGTTGCCATGACATCGCGCGCGCCTCACGCGATTCTGTGTATCCATTTTCCATGGAGCACGCGCTGGTGGCTCGTCGTTAAACAAGACCAGCGTTATGTAATGTGTCGCCAAGGACACTCTCGCGACTGACCAGAGCGTGGAAGACTTACGAGAATTGCTGTTTCTGGGCCTGCTGACCTGGCTGGCTCGCTGAGGACGACATTGTTGCCACTTCCGGAACTGTTGGCAGGGCGAAGAAGAATCTGAGGACGAAATGCACAAGATAAGAGCGATTTCCCAATCATCAATTGGCCCATAATGTCGCTATCTATAAGCATTGCCAAAAGTGATAACACTGTCTCGAGATTATGTAATTAATCGGCATTATGAGGACAACTTGATTGAGGAATATCGCGCTGAAATTTGGCCTTCTGTCACTCACGGAGAAAGAGAGAGAGAAGCGGATGGCGCGGGCTTGGAATGGTCTCGACGGGGCTCTGGTGATGCGCTAAGGAGGCCCAGACTCCACTTGACTCCCACTTGCTGGTCTGTCTTGAGGAATTTCCACCCAAAAAAACGGACCCAAACTGTCCCGATAAATCAATAAACACGCCGACAAATCCGCACGAAACAACTTGACAGATTCCCGGACGGCGACTGGGCTAGTCCAAGTGCTCGCGAGACAGACTCGAGGAGAGAGAGAGAGAGAGAGTCTCTCTTCGCGACATGCGCTCTTCTCTCTCTCTTCGGCTGCTCCAGCGACTTCGCCTCTCTCTCTCTCTCGCGCGCGCTCTGCCATGTGATTACGTAACGGAAAACAGCTGATTTGGACACATCTTTGGCGAGAGCTTTTGCGCTGGAAGTTCCACTGGAAGTTGTGCCTCCGAAAGTCCTTCTGGCGCGCCTTATCCGCGCCCCAGTTAAATACTCATCTCACCGCACGATGTTCCTGAATTTGTGGCAAAATCTTGAATTCTCAAGTGGCAGGAATTCCAGCCGAATGGAGTCAATACAGCACGTGCAGAGGCATTTTCTTTGGGAAAATATGAAAGTAATTGGATCTAAATAGCAAATAATAAGACCCTTTGGAGGGAAATTACTTCCGCACTATTTAATTTCTCCTCCACTTTTAGTCTTTCACCTTTTTCTTTCTTCTCAGCCTATTTTCATTCGCAATTCTCTCTTATTCACAGATGTGGTATTTTAACAGGAAAAATTAGAGTTCGACGAAAAATCAATAATGGCAGGAAAAATATAGGGAAAAAGCACGTAAAAACCTGAATAATTACATTGAGGAAGAGAATTTGAAGAAAGAAATTTTCGATATATATTGTAGGGGAGAGTGAGGCTTCGGACGCGCCTTTTTCGAACAGAAAATGTGAATCAAAGCATCTCAAAGCTTGATGTCTTTCTCTGCTGTAAAACTAAAATGTTTTCGGTTCTAAGAGCTTCAATATCTTCAAATGCTTAGTTTTAGGATAGTAAGAAATTATTTAAGAAGTTTAGGACTTGTTCAATGAACAATTTCTGCCTTCATTTTCTGGTTTCACCTTTGAGAAATGCTTAGAAACCTTAGAAATCTCCTGATCAAATTGTGAGGTTATAAATCCGGCCTAAAAAATCTTTCTTTGACTAATTTTGAATCCTTTAAAACCTGGAAATAAGTAAATACAAAAGATATCACAATATTTCTACTAAAATAACTAAGCGAAAATAACATTTTTTGAAACTGAAATAATATTTTTGAGGTTATGATTGCTTTTTGAGCTTTTTCTCAAGCAATCTAAAGAGTTTTGAGCACAAATACTAGAAATATTTCCTGATAAAATACAAATTTAATGATTTTGAGGGTAATTTTATCACTAGAATCTCTTTTAAATCAATCACATAACCTAGAAAAGTGATAAAATTGATTTTTCCATGCAAAACAACATAGAAAATGCCTAAATTTGTTGCGAAAGATTGTTTTTGTAATGTATATATTCTTGATATTTCATCCATTCTAATTCCTAACACTCCCTTAACAGCTGTACACCACTTCCAACCATAATATCTGCCCCTTGCAATATACCTTGAAATGATAAACAAATCCAAGGGAAAACCTTAAATTTTTCTGACCGCGTTTAGGTGATTTTTCCAAAGTCAATACCCAAGAGAATGAAATGAGCAAATCCTCTCCACTCTCCCCTATTCATTACAATAATGGTAAGCCATTTGTTGCAAAATATTATTCTGTTTTTCTGGTTTTCAGCTCCTGGTCCAGTTGATCCACATGTAAAAATCCATTTTCTGTGTCAGCGTGAAGAGTCAGCATCGGTTATTTCGTTATCATAAGATGATTACATTGCGGAATCAACGATGTAAACATCATGATTGATTTTTCTGCACATTGAAAAAACTCATGCAGTTTGCAAATCGATTTGGCAAAAGCAAGAATCATGAGAATTTCCAACTCACAAGCACTTATCGCTCTGCCTTTCCTTCTCGCCTTCCCAATTTCGCTCTGTGGCGCTGGCAAGAAGGGCAAATTAGAAGCAGCCGGAGATAGTCGATATAAATACTTGATGGCAAAGTGATTTCCGCTCCAGTGTTGTTCATTCACCTCCCAAGGAGTTTCGGTTGTGGCCAGCAGAGACGGACATTTAGGAAGTGTGTGTAGCGTGCCAAGACGAGAGGAAGTAGTCGTGAAAATTGAGTGGATTTTAATTATAATTGCAAAGAAAAACCACCAGGAAATACGTTCTTCCCATTCAAAAGGTGGAGACAAAGATGTTTTTCTGCCATGTGGTGAGTCTCAATGAATCTACATTTCGCAAAGGGGTTGCTAATCGGGGTTCTGAGTGCTATTCCGGAATAATTCACGCTCAGAAGATGAATTGATTCCATTTATTCTCAATCTATTCCTGTTATTCCTCGTTATTCCGGAATAAATCATGTTTGGGCAAAGAATAAGTCAAGAATAAGACTTTCGAGCTTAATTTAATTTACTTTGATTCAAAGTCGCTCAGATTGCAGCAAATTTAAGCATTTTCTTAATTGTTTCGCGTAGAAAAATCAAATTTCACTGCATTTCTAGGTTATGTGATTGATTTAAAGCAGATTTTGATGGTTAAAAAACCCTCAAAATCATCTAATCTGTGTTTAAGTTGTGAATATTTCTTGTTTTCTTGGCACAAAATTAAGAATTTTTGTTGAAAAACTTTAGGTTAGTTAAAATACAGTAATAAATCAACTTTAAAGTCCAATCATAACCTCAAAAATGTCATTTCAGCCTAGAAAAATGTCAATTTGCTTTGGTTTTTCTGCACTTTGTGCTTTAAAGTGGCAAAAAAGGCCTCGAATATTTGCAAATTTCCACGTTTGAAAGGATTTAAAATTACACCGAAAAGGATTTTTTTTTAAATCGGATTCATAACCTCACAATTTCAGTCAGAAGTTTCCTAAGCATTTACCAAAGACTAAACTAAGAAAATGAAGATGTTTAAATCCAGTTCTTGCAATCTACAATCCTAGATTTTCAAGTGTTTAAGCATCTTAAGACTTTAAAAAAAAACCTAAATTTGGCTGATAAATTAAAAATGGGTAAAATTGTGATATACTTTATTCACTTATTCCTGAAATTCATTCTTTCATTTCTTTCATTTATTTATTCATGTGTTTTTTCAGTGGATTTTTGCTAAAGTTATTCTCCAATTATTCCACTTATTCGACGAATTTTTGTAGATAATAAGCAACCCCTTGACATTTAGTGTTTCCTGGATAAATTTCGTCACACTCTCAGGAAACACCCCCCAAAATTGGGGGGTGGAAAGAATTGTGCAGTGGAAAATCCATTGGGAATTGAACATTAGTCAAATGTGTCCTTTTTAGTTTTCTTGCATTTCTCCGGGAAGATTTATGGGTCCATTAAGATTGAAAATACCACGGAGAAAAGCTCTTTAAATAGAATTTCAATTTTTCCCTCAAACACTTTCCTCACCTTGTCGAGAATTATGTTGAGACATTGCGAGAAATTTCCACAGATGTTACACAAATTTGTCACTTCTGTTTTCTCCGTATCTTGACAAATTTTTTTCATCACCCCAAAAGTATTTTCCTCTCACCCCCACCAGAAAGCCCATATATATACACATAATAATCAAATTTCCCCAAGAAGAGAAAACATGATTAATTACCCACAACTTGGCGAAAATAATTTTGGCAAAAGGGAGATAAAGTTCGGACGAAGACAGTGTCATTGCATAATTTCTCTGTTGATTCTATGCTGGGCGTTGTGTGTAATTGGAAAGCAAACAATTCGTGAAGCATTAATTTTGCAACATGATCTCTTTATGAAAAGCCTGGGCAATCACACAATTTAATTAAGGTGAATTACGCGCTCTTTCCAATGACTTCACTTTCATCTCATCTTGAGACACGATCCAGTCAATTGCTGACAAGATTGCTGACGAGAGAGGGCTTCAAGAGGTCTTTCTCGCCTTCCACTTGCACACCAAGATTACCTGCAATTGACCCTGATTACAGATTTATGCAACCCATTGCAGACGTGATTCTCCGCCTCGAAAGGCAGAGAGTCCATTCAAAACATTCTTCTCGGCTCAAGATAAGTGAACATGTCTGCAAGGGGAGGATAATATGCTCTAAATCTGTACATAACTTCCTAAACACTACGAAAAATGTCTGACAATTCCAGCACTTGACAATTTTAGACCTAGTTTTAGACTGTTTCAGTTTCCATTTAGTATTTCTAGAAGAAAACACTTAAAACCTTTTTTTTTTGAGTATCTTTTCCGATCATAACCTGAAAATATCACTGAGAAATCGTTTAAAGTCTCTGTTTCAAATTGTTCTATTAGTGGAAGCTGACAAAATGCTAAAACCAGCTCAATCTATAGTCTTATTGACATTTCTATGTCCCGATAAGAAGATGTGAAGGGCCTCAAAGGCTTCCAGTTTTCTTCTTGTTATTGTTATGGAAGCTTTCTAGATTACAAAATCATCTTTTATGCTTTGCCAATGAACTTAAAATTGCTGATTCAATATCAAAATCATCTAGAAAGGTGTCTAAATAATCATTTTGCAAGATAAAATGACTGTTTTGAGGTTATGTTCGATTTTAGCACAATTTTCAGTATTTCTCACGCATCAAATGTTCAGAAGAGCGCTGTTTATTGCATGCAAATGCTTAATTCCGCCAATAAATGCTGATCTTTGAGATTCGAACATAAGAATTGATGTGTTAGATTGCGAATTATTCACTTATTCTGTCCTTGATTCGTTACATAACCTAGAAAAGGGTTATTAGTGATTATTTCTACACGAATATCAAAAGAAATCCATAAAAACCAGGATAATTTGGCAGTCAAAGAAGTACTTACAAAAGGAGGAATTGTAAGTTCTTCAACACTTTCACTTCTGCTGAACTGTACACCACTTCTGGCTGTATTATCTCCCCCTTGCGCGTTTGCATAAGCTCCAAATTGAGAAATCAATTCCACAGAGACTTTGAGGATCCGAAATAGAATACGCCCTGAATCAGATATGACATGCGGTAAATTCTCCATGGCAGAGTTATTCATTCATCCTTGTAAGCATATTAGCCTGTTGGAAGCCAAATATCACATCAGGACTCGCTCGGTGCGCCACAAGGGAAGAAGGGATTCGCAATTATGTGCTCTTCGGATGTTAAGCATATGAATATTGAAAGCATTTTAAATAGACTCTCTGCTGTGCTCAATGTGGAGGCGAAAGACTGTAATCAAGCAAAAACCGAGAAAAGCTAAATTTCCCACACAAACAAACTCAACGTTGTGCAACAAACGACATTCAAAGTCATGTAAATACTGAATTGCAGTGCATGAAAATATATATTTTTTACAACCCAAAGGAATCAAAGGAGTGTCAACGATAAAAAATTTCTCTCTGGCTTTTTAATATATAAAAAACAAGGGAGTTAAACCTTGTTAGAAGTGGTGTAAAGATCAAAATAAGTTTGAGGAACTGAAAGTGTTTCAATTATTGCAATATTTTATTGACAGTTTCGATTTTCTGTTGATTTTTTCACTCTCAGAAGTTAATTTTCTATCCAATTCATAATTTTGACATGATTTTCTAGGTTATGTGATTAATTTACGACTAAATAACATCTTAAAGTAGAAATTCTTGAGTCTAAATTGAAGTATTTTCACTTTATTAGTAGAATTGTGTATTTTTACTCAAGAAAATCGTGATTTTAAAAGCTGGGGTGTGAAGAAACAATGTTAAATTTAAATATAACCTCAATTTTTCATTAAACCGTTACGATTTTGAGTTAAAACGATACTAATCGATATTACAAAAATATATCCAATCTTAATTTTAAGATTATGATCAATAAAAATGTGCAAATATGCAACTTTAGAGAAAAAAAATCATGAAATCAAAGTTTTCAATTAGATTTTCGTTAGTTTTCAGTTGATTTTCAGGAAATTATATCAAAAATTTTATACAATGTCACTGATTTTAGCGTCTTTTAACGTTCTTCGGAGGATTGTGAGAAATGTTAAGGATTTTTCATACGAATTGTGAATCAATTCTTATTCAGTTCTGAATTTTGACATATATTTTCTAGGTTATGTGACTTATTTAAGACGAAAAATGAGGTTAGAATAGAAATTCTTGCACTGAAATCGATATTATTTTCATTTATTTGTAGAATTACGCATTTCCCCCAATTTGAACGTGATTTTGAAAACTAAGAGGGTTCAAATCGAACATAACCTCAAATATTTACTAATTTACGCCAAATTTTGAGCTAGAAAGTTTCTAATTAAGAATTATAAATGGGAAAGTTCAATTAAAAGCATGAAATCAACAAATGTTATATAAAAATTCCTTCAGACAGTTTCAAAATCAGTGTTATGAAATAAATAAGAAGTATAAAGTTCTGCGAACTGTTAAGGATTTTTCATATAAATTGTGGAATTGTCAGGAAGTGGCGTACAAACTTTGACCAATTATCTTTCCCTTGTGTAAAATAGATTGAAGTTGTACAGCTTTTCAAGCAGAAAATTAACTAGTAACACCAAATAGCAATGTTCACACTTGTTTACCACGGATGGAATATTGCATCAAGTAAATAGTATTTTTTTTTATTCTTGACACATTTTTCTTGGCAAAATTTTGAAATATTTCACATACATAGAATCCCAGAGCTTTATTAGACCATAAATTTATAGATAATTAAGCGGAAAAGCTCAGATGTGGGATAAAATATATCGCATATTACGGGAAATGCATAATAAAATCATTAATTGTGGGCAATTCATATTGTTCCCTAATGTGCAATTTTGCATAATTGGCTTCGTGAAATCGACGATTAAGACAGTAAATAAATATAGCGAAGATGCCATTTATCCTGCACAATATTACAGTCTTGGCGAAGTGGATTCTGTGGGCAATTTATATTTGTAGGCTGTCTCAAATATAGAACAGATACTGTCGTCTCACTTTTATTGTCATCCGGGGGCAATGCGGACAATTTCCCGCCCTTGCGAGGAATTTCCACCACCGGAAGCCAATAAAAGTAAAACGAAACTGAAGATCATCAATTTTGTATTTTATGAGATTGCGTCAACTGTAAATATTCTATCTTCCTTTTATTATTCCTCTTCGAGCCTCTTATACCTCGTTATTTTGACCTGTGAGTGCTGAAATATGGAATTTTTCACGGGTATGAAAGTATGAAAATTGTTATGAATTACATTTTGTCACCAACATCAGCATTTTTCTTCATTTTATTTGACAAAACAATGCAAAATGGGAACATGAATTGAGAGTAATATAATGTTTTGGCACTGGCTGGAATATTTTATTTGCCATCCAAGTGAATATATTAGCAAATGTGGCCACATTTGGACGCATTAACTATTAAAGTAAATTGTAAATGCTAGACTAGGTGATATTCTTCATTTACAGCTCAGGTAATAAATCTTTTTAAACGTCGTGATAAGTGATAATTTTCATCAAAATAAAATTCAGTGTTGATGTGACAATAACACACAATATGAAATATTTTATGGGACACTAAAGATTTAATAAGATTTTTTAACATTTAGCTAAATCAAGGGGGAGATATTATGATGAGAAGCGTTTTGAAATGAAATTTAAGGCGTTTAAGAGCTGCTTTCCAAGAAAATAACCGCAATATTTTGAGAATTCTTACACTATTTTCTTCAATAAAAAATCTCATTTATTTTCTAGGTTATGAAATAAATTTTAAACAAAATTTACTGACTAAATAACATCGGGAAACACCAATTCATACACTTTAGAAAAGAAATATGATGAAGATTACAAGATTTCCATGTTAAACTCATATTAATCGTGCTAAGATTAATCATAACCTCTAAAATATTGTCTCATGATATAAAATTGTCTATTTTAGAAAGTTTATTGATAGATTTTCTACTCTAAAATAGCAAATTTCAGCTAATTTTTGGTTTCTAACTGATTAATATTCACCAGAGTTGCCTTTAAGACATCAAGAAAAGATTCTTTCAGGGATTCTTTCAGATATCTCAAGTAAATTTTGAGGTTATGGTCAACAGAGTGACAAGAAAAATGATTAAAAATTCAGTCACATCAAAATAACCGCTGAAAACTTTAAATATTTCTTAAATACTGTTTTTCTGTGGGTTTTTTTCTGAGTTAAACAAGTAAAAATTGAGTCTTTTTAAGACAATAACGACGTAAATTTGAGGTTAAGATGCTTTAGGCGGTTAGAAAAGTCTATGCAGGTCGAGAAAAGGAGAAGAAAAAAGTAAAAAGAAGTGGTGTACAGAGTTTAGCCGTATTATCTCCTCCTTGAGCAAAATGAAATTTTTTTATATCACATATTTTCAGTGAAAAAAGCATTTAAAAAATTTCCGTTAATAAAACAAGCGTTAAACAACCTGTTAAACATTAGCAGAATGAGATTTTTAATAAGCTTGCAAATGGAGTTTATCTCATTAGCTATTAATGGCTGAGCATTTAGGACACACTTTTCAATATATGTTTGCAATTTGAAAATTTCACTGGAAATGTGATCAACTTAAGCGCTTCGACATGGTTTTCTTGACATTGTGAGGAAAAGGCGAAAAAGGGATAAAGACATGAATAAGTCAGTTCATCGGACTCAATTGCCCAAAGTTGTTACAATTTAATTGAGCAGTGAAATTGCTTGTAATGGAAAATTTAATGTAGAGCGCTTTCCTTTTCCACTGTCTTATTCTGTAACAGTTGCTCATTTCGTGCGGGGCCATTGTGGCCATTTCCAGCTGTGACGCTGCCAAAACGGCCCAACCGACGCTGGAATTGGTGCAGCCGGAAGTGCGAGCGAGAGATCAGTTGGTGGATGACGGCAAGAGGATGCTGAGCAAGCGGGGTTTGAGCTTCGGCGGCGGGGTTGGGGCGTGGAATGGGGTGGATTGGCAGAATGCCTGGAGCACTCCATCCTTTGGCGGCGGCGGCGGCGGCACATTTGGCGTGAGTTCGGCGCAATTTGGACCATGGTTAGGGTGAGTTTTGCGTCAAATTATTATAAATTCCTGATTCCCCAGATTTCTGTCATTCATTATTCACTGGCACACGGTTGTACATATAAATGAAGATATCTCTGTTCACATGCCAATGGCAAGAATTGCGGCGGGGGGTGAAAAAGGTGAAAAACTCCCAACTGAGAGCGAAATTAGGTCAGCCGACATCGTGTTTGGCATCATTGCGAAACTTTTCCAAATCCCTTTCTCTCCTCAGACACTCCAGAATTGTGTGTGTGTGTGTAATTAAATCCAGACATATGTAGGAAAATTGTACAGAAGAAAACTTTTATGTGAATTAATGAAATATTCACGCTGGCGATATTGAAACACCGAATTTAATGCAATTACGCCAGAATTATCATTTCCACTGACATATTTATCAGTATTTTTATCTGATAAATAATCCTTTTTGCAAAATATGATTTAAATTATAATATTAGTGCATGCAAATAGGGGAGAGAAGGGTAGTTTTGATGAGATTTTATTATCGAATTTCGATGCATTTTTCAAAAAAAATGATATGTTGAAGAGAAATTCTATTCAGCCTTTTGAATTGTCTTGATTATGAGCTTCAAAAGGCCGTTTTATCCCAGAGTTGGAAAACGTAAGGATTTTCTACGGTATTCTGGACAAAACTGCCCCACTTTGGGGTCATTTCGAACTGTAATTATTAGTCATTTTTGAAGTGAAATCCTAAACAAAAATGACTAAGGAAGCTCTTAAATAAGTGAAGAACATTATTTAATGCTCAATAGATTATCTAATGGAGAGAAAACTGGAGGATTTTTATTGGTTTTCGTAATTTAGCAGAGACACATTTTCGAAAAATTTATTTTCTTTAATTCTTGCAAGAATATTATGAGTAACATCAAAAACAGGTGCAATACGTTGAGATTCAATTGAAAATGCTTAACTTAAGTCAAATTTTCTGTTCAAAAAAAGGCACTGTCCGAAGCCTCACTCTCCCCTAAATGTATTTTGACCATTTTCCCATTTCGACGGGTGAATGGAAAACGATGAAAAGTCGATTTATCATAGTTTTCGTTTTAATGTATTTTTGAAAAGCCTTTTATTTGTCCTTTCAGTATAAGAATTTTAAGATTTGTATCTTATGAGACAATAGAAAAAAATCTTATTTATCTAAAGAGCACAAATGGAAAAAAAATTGTCATGTTTTTGTCTCGAAAATGTCTCAAAAATTGCAGTCAAATGCATAAAACGTCTTTTTAGAAAATATTAGTAGATTTTCAGAATTATCCTAAAATGTTTTTTAGACTTTAAATGAATATTTCTCATATCTTTTAAATTTTTTCACTTGAAAACATTAAGAAAAAGTTCAATTGAAGTATGAAAAGTTGATTTTTTGTATAAAATCGACTCAAAAACCATTAAAAATCGACTTTGAAAAGTAATATTTTCAGATTTTCTATTAATTTTGCCACATTTTAGTCAAAAATTTCAATAAATACCAATAAAATATTTACAAAATGATAAATTCAGAGCAATATTTTCACTTAAACGAACAATTTGAAGGCATTTTGAGTATTTTGAAGTAAATTTGGCACATTTCTCAGTTGTTTTAATGCAAAATTTTGAACTCGCTTTACTGAAAAATGGCGATTTTGACTTTTGATAGTTTTCGAGGCACCCGTCGATATGAATTCAATATGAATTCGAATAATAACATTCTTTGTCTGTCTAGAAGGGAATTTCCCTTTGCACAAGAGAGCAATTTATTATTTAATTATAGAAATAACTTCAGACGAAGACATCATTGAAACTGTATTCGATTTTATCAGTATATTTGCCATTGAAATTGAATATTATTGCAAAAGTTTCACATGAGAGAAAGTATGTGTTATCAGAATTGAGTATCCGAAGTTGTCATCAAAGTTCTTCTCCTTCATCAGTGTTCACATGTCGAAACTAATATGACTTGCCTTTCTGGAGAATTTCTTCCAGTACTTCGAGTACTCAGCACAAAATCTTCCTCCGTCAATGCATACATATGTGTGCTTTTATATGTAGTTTCTTGTCACATAGATCGATGTTGAGATAAATTTCTCTTGTGTGGTGAAGGAAAAATTTCATATTGAACGACTTTCAACCATCAATCTGTGTTTTTTCTGGCTATTTTAAAATTGAGTGAATTAAATTTTTATTAAAGTCTAACTCATCTTTAGCTCGATGGCATCTGAGACACGTTTTTGCCTCTCTAAAATTCACAATAAATTCATCCAAGCTCACGTAACGATATTGGCATATTATCGGTGCTTAAGATGGTGATTTTCGCGGTGCACAAATTTATCTTCCATCTGTATTGCGGATCATTGGCAATTCTGGCGGAAAATTACGGAATTCCTCGGATATTCTGACACATTTCAGTAACTCGCACAAGTACGTGCCGTCGCCGGCAGAAGTGACGGCGGCAATTGCGGCGGCCAAGCAGGCGTCGGCGAACGTGCTCGTGGCGCAGCAGCAAGTGTTGGCCGCCAAGGAGAATGTCCTGTCGCAGCAGAAATTGGCGGCCGAGCGCGAGACTCAGGCGTCCATTGCCCAGCAGAAGAGCGAGGCCGCGGCGGCCATTCAGCGATCCGAGGCCGCGGCGGCGGCACAGGCCGTGATCCTCGCGCAGCAGCGCCTGGCGTCGGCCAAGGCGGCCGTGGCGCATCACCAGAAGATCGCCGCCAGCAAGGAAGCCCAGGCGGCGTCCGCTCTCCAGAGCTCGGCGCACGCCGCGGCGGCGGAAATCCAGCGAACAGGTAAATAAAATCACTCACAAGGGGGAGACAATATGGTCAGAAGTGGTGTACAACTCAGAAGAAGTACTTAAGAAGTGAAAATACTTTCATATTTCCAATATCGTGCGTTCAAAAGTCACTTTCAACAAGAATTAACACAAGAATTTTTGAAAAAAAAGCTTTTTACATTTTTCTAGGTTATGTCATGGATTTCAGACAAACTTTGCCACAAGATAACCTCAAAAATCATTTATTCTTGCGCCTAAGTTGGTAAATTCTGCATTTACTAAGGAAATAATAATGAAATCTGATGAAGATCACAAATTTTCAATTTTAAACAATATTAATCGTGCTAAGATTGATCATAACCTCTAAAATATTGTTACAAGATACAAAATTGCCTATTTCAAGAGCTTTTTTATTGATTTTCTACTCTAAAATAGCAAATTTCAGCTTATTTTTGGTTTATAACAGAATAATATTCCCCAGATTTATATTGAAAAGATTCTGAATAAGTTTCTTTCAATGATTTTTCTAGATATCTCAAGATAGTATTTAGGTTATGATCCAAATTATTACCTAGAATCTTCAAATATTTCTCAAATACTGCTTTTTCGTAAGGTTTCCAGGTCATAACAAGTGAAAATGTCGTCGTTTTACGTCTAAAACTTCTAAATTTGAGGTTATGATACTTGAAAAAATCTATAAAGTTCCATAAAAAGGAGAAAAAAAATGAAAAAAAGAATATTTTAAGCACTGAAAAGGTTCTGGAAGTGTCTGTGACTCAATGGAAATTGTGCTGTACGCAGTTTTGGCCATATTGTCTCCCCCTTGAGCACTTTGCGTGCCGCTGAGCATGATTAGCAGCCATTAATTGATCGGATTCTCACCTGTAGAGCACGAGGCATCGAAGTTGTCCACGTATCAGAGGAACGACGCCGCAGCTGCTCTGCACCACGTCACCGCGACAAAGGACGCGGCGCTGGCCCCTCTCACCATCGGCAACAACCGCCTGCCCACAGTAACCTTCAGCCCCTTCCACTACCCCGCGGCGTCGTGGAGTCCCGGCTTCGTGACCTCGGCCACACCCTCGCTCGTGGGCCACTCATCCGGAGCCCCGTGGTCGGCGGCCTTCTTGCCGCACCGCGCGGCGCTGGGCGGATTCTGGGGGTAGCGAATTGGGGTGGCTGCAGTGGCGGCGAGATGAATGCGTTCGCCCCAACCCCGCCGCTTCCCGCTGAAACTTCACACTGTACAGAATTCACTCTGGCCAACAATAAATGCCAAGTAATACATTTTCCAACAAGAGGCGATGTTTTCCTCACAAAAACTCCACTTCCTGTCATTTCTAAGATTTTCCGCTTAATAATGACGAATGGACGAACATATAAATTATCATATTAATGCCCTGCTTGTTTTCAACCACGTCATTTGTGCTTACAAATCCACTTAGCAAATCCGTTTGTATTTTTCATACAACAATACTTCTCAAGACTTCATGGATTGTTTATAGCGAGACTAAAATTGACCAAAAACTAACCAAAATCTAACCAAAATCTAACTTTCAACTTCAAACTCACATTTCTGTACAATACTTTATGATTTTTACCCGCTAAAATTAAATTTTTGCGTATTCTTCTATCATAAACCTTTAGCGAAAGATTAACTTAATTTTTTCTAAAAAATTGTAAAAAATAATTGAGGTTATGTTTGAATTTAGCGTTATTTCCTAAAGTAATAATTTTAATTTACTTATAAAGTGGATTTTAAGTTGCTATTTAGTCCTAAATTAATCACATTCTACCATTAGTTTACTAGCAATAAACTGGGCACAAGGTTTTTGAGCAACAAGATTTGAGCACAAATTTTCAAAATTGTATTTCCGGTTAAAATAGTTCAAATCGAAAAGATATGAATTAATTAATAATGACGAGTACGAATTGTCTCGTTAGAATGAGCTTTAATTCCTTAAAAGAGCAGAAAATCTTCCTTTAGTTGCTCAAAACTTGAAAACTTTATTCTGCTTAAACGAGAATTATTTATAGGGTTTAAACCATAAGAATATGTCGTTTAACAAGGCATTTTTTCAATTTGAACCAATTTAACCTCACAATTGGGTGGAAATACAACTTTAAAAATCTGTGCTCAAATCTTGTTGCTAAAAAATCTTGTGCCCAGTTTTAAACTAATAAACGTTAAACGGAAATTACACTGAAATAATCAAAGCTGTGAGCTAAATATTGCATGAATTGAAACACTTCTACTCATCTGTACACCATTTCTGACCATATTCTCTCCCCCTTGGAGTGATATGAAAATTGTGGCTTTCTATGCACTTGATTTGGGGTGCGAATCAGTGGATTGTGATTGTTACCACCGACTCGGGGGTTAACTTTAGCCTCATTCTCGACGCACTCTGATTATGCACATCGATTAGGGGCGGCGATGGGACAGTTCGAAATGGTAACACAATAATTTGCAGGGCAGGAAAATGTCAGTGCGAGTGATAAATGACAGTTTTGTGTGCGTGGGTGGTGGGAAATTAGAGATATTCAACTGCCAAATAAATACATTTCACCGTTCAGTGGGTGCACATTTTAACCCCGTCCGTCATCACTCTCACTCACATTTACAGTGATCGATCCTGCCAACCTTCGGCGTGTAGTTCATGATGAGAAGGTGCTGTTGTGAATTGATTTCAGGACGCCAGACACCTCCTTTGCCTGATGGGAGTTAAACTGCTCTCCACTGAAGAGGCGGCGCAGAATGGAAATTCAAATTGCCCCCCGTTTTGAAATGCCACGTTTCGGGGGATTTAAGTAAAATATTCACAAAGTTGGCTATTGATAGTAATTTTTTCGAGTTTACACGACAGATTTTCCAACATATGTGCACGAGAAAAGCGATATTTTATACTATGCGTAACATATTTAACAGTTTGTGGAAATATTTGAAGCGAGAGTTGCTAAAATTGCGACAAAAGTGGTTTCCATTCCTCCCAAATCCATTCGATCCATTCCTGGAATATTCGACAGAAAGACGAAGAAAGTGAATTTCGCACTGAAATCGTGAAGTCTCGGGTTCGATTCTCCTGCAATTCGCTTTTTCTTCACGTTTCTTTCCCTTTTCGGGTATTTTCCTTCACTTTATTACTTTATATCCAGTATTTTTCCCTCAATATTCTCCTAAAACTCTTTCTAACACTGAATATAAGGTTCTCTTCAAGAATAATCTCTAATAACTCCATCTGAGGCTCAGAATTACCTTTCTCACTCTATAAGTTTTTTTTTTCTTACATTCTTTTTACCGCCTTAATGTCAATTCTCGACTTAAAACTTCTTCTGAGAGCTCATTTTAAAGGGTAAAATGTAATTTTCCACCTTGTTCTCCGCAAAAGTCGTTTTCAAAGCTGCTAATATTGTGATTTTCACATCCTTTTCCTACGCACATCTGCGTTCATGGGTTCGAGTCCAGCTTGTGGCAAGTTTTTTTTTCACATATTTTCTTCTTTTAGCCTTTTTCCTATCACAATTTAAGCAATGGACAAATGCAGAAGGGTTTTAACGCCTCCCAATAAATAATTATTCATCACAGACTCTACAAAATGTCATTTGTGAAGCAGATAAGAATGTAAAATCGGAATTCTGTAGGTCGAGGCATCGATAGACGTAATCGGCGCTCACAAAAGCATGTAATTATGTGCGAAAAATATTTTAAAAATGTGTTATATTAGTTTAACATACGCTTTTGTTATTCTGAGTCACTTTTCTGAGGCTTTAAATGACGATTGTGTAAAAATATTCACCCACTTTTGTTGTTTGCTATTCAAGACGAATTGTGTTAAACCATTGTGTGTCGTCTGAATGTGTTAAAAAGCAAAATAACAGATCAGAAATCTGCAAATATCTTGCAAAATCGGATCAATCCGCAATTTTAACTCTCATTTTCAGACTTAAACAGGAAAGATATTTGCAATAAATTCTTTTTATCGTGGATTTACTGATTGTTTACATGAATTTCAGTAATTTAGGCAAATTTCACAATTTTTCCTTTCTTACACATTCTGTAATCTCCTAAAACTCTAAAACACTGTTTTATCGAGAATAACAAGGGCTGTTTTTCTTTATTCATTTCTAATTTTAAACTTTTACATGTTTGAAGTTTAACATATTTGTGTGTAAGTCAGAAATGCTTCAAAAATCTATATATTTTACTTTAAAAGACAATGTAAATGCTTTAATTTTGACTTTACAACAATGTCTTTGGAGATTTAAAATTCGAAAACTTAATGAATTCCTTTTATTTTTTAGTTAATAATCATATATTCTGCGAATTTCATGGGATTTTCACTTAATATTTCCATTCCTCACTTGCGCAACTCTCGGTTTGAAGGGAAAATTTGCTAAATTGGCTTTCTCTATCGTGCATAACTCAATTCTCTATGTGTTGCAGGAGAATTTATAGCTTCTAAGTTGAATTTGTATAGTGGCTTGTGTGTAAAAGTTCTCATTGTTTTGGGGAGTTAAGTAAGTTACGCCACAAAGTTCAAACTTAATTGGGCGTTCTTTATCAAGGCAAAGACAATCCCTTTGATGTTTGCTAATGTGTCAATTAGATATTTTTCCAGGGGAAAACTTTCAATGAATCCCCTCCACGTCCGGAAAGTTCTTAAACCTTTCTCTCCATGGCCAGGGAAAATACTTTGTCCGCAAAACTGGGCGAATGATGAAGACAAAAGGGGGGGAAAAACCACATTTTGAACAATAGAATGGATGAAACGGAAATTTAAACCTAAAATTCCACCCTTGTTTTCTCCAGCAAAACCTTTCATAATTCAATAAAATTCAATCGAAAATTTCATTGAGTGTGGCTGAATTTGATAATATGATTCTGTGCTTTAGATCCTCCAGAACTCTCCCGAACCAGCAAAGGTAAAAGGATGTTGGCACAAAAGCAACACAGAATCGAAGAGTGGGAAGTCGAAAGTGGCCAAGACATTTTTCTCTCTCTCTCTCTTCATGTTTATATACATAAGCAGAAGAAATCGATAGGAAATATTCTTGCCAAAAATCCACTTCCACAGCCAAGGGGCAAATCACAAGGCGATTCAAGGCGATTCGGCGATTCGGCGAAAAATCAATTATTTGAGTTAAATAATCAAAAAATGCTTATTTTTCCCAAGAAAAATTGAAAAAAAATCAAATTTTGAATTGAATCATAAAAAAATGTTTATTTTCCTAAGCAAGAATGCAAAAACCCAAATTTTGAAAAAATAAATTAAAAAATGATTAATTTCCAAGTGGAATTAAAAAAAAAATCAAATTTTGAATTAAATAATAAAAAAATATGATTAATTTCCAAGTGTAATTAAAAAAAATCAAATTTTGAATCAAATAATCAAAAAATGTTTTTTCTTTCAAAGTAATATTAAAAAAAAATTTAATTTTGAATTGAATCATAAAAAATGTTTATTTTCCTAATTAAGAATGCAAAAAAACCAAATTTTGAAAAAAATAAATTAAAAAATTATTAATTTCCAAGTGAAATTGAAAAAAAAAACAAATTTTGAATTTTATAATTAAAAAATGTTTTTTTTTCTAAGTAAAATTGAAAAATAATCAAATTTTGCATTACATAATAAAAATTGATTATTTTTCCAAGTAGAATTAAAAAAAATCAAATTTGAATTGAATAACCAAAAAATGTTTTTTTTTTTTTCAAAGTAAAATTGAAAAAAGAATCAAATTTTGAATAAAATAATAAAAAAATGATTATTTTCCCAAGTAAAGTTGAAAAGAAAATCAAATTTTGAATGAAATAATAAAAAAAATTATAATTTTCCTTGTAAATTACTTGGAAATTTACAAAATAATTAAAAAATAATCAGAATTTTGTATGAAATAATCAAAATTTGAGTAATAATCACAAGAATGTAACAAAAAACGATTCAATAATCATAAAGTTAATGATCTCAACTGGCGAGTGATTGTCCCCTTGTCCACGGCAATTTATTTATTTTCCACTTTTTTTCTATCATCCTCAAAACAATCATCGGTGGAAATCCATAGGCTTTTCCCTATGAGAGGACAGAAATTGTGATTGTACTTTATTTTGACCTTTTAAAAGCTCATCACGTCTATTTTCATCTCCCGCAGTGTCATTTCCCCGGCCGAAAGTCCTTCCTTCCTTTGCCAAGAGGATGAAGAAAAGTTGTGTAGTTTTTATACCAAATGGCACGGAGTGAATCGGAATGGGGGTTAATTTGGTGGAGAAAAGGGCTTATTTAGTGTGCCAATTTCACAAGAGAATTTCGCCTTTCATACACAATTCCGTGAGGAATATCTTCTTGACCTCCATTCACTTACTTATACGTCTCTCACTGTGCTAATCTTGGTGCTAATAGAGATTAGAGAGATCTTGAGGAACAATTCTTACAGAATCCGAGAAGCAGAAATCAAAGAATTCGCTTTAAACACCTGAAAAATTCGCTGGAAAAATGATTTGCGACACTTTTTCAACTGAACTTTTTTACGCTGTTACTTCCTGATGTCCTGATTAAATGTCCTTTCTTGCGCAGAAATCGTGTGTCGTTCAAGCCTTGTATCTTGATATTCTTTTAATCAAATTTTGATATCAAACACTTACAAAATGCTGATAATAAATGAAAATCGACAGGGTAATTATCCTAAAGACACCCAGGATTCATTTAAACCTCTTTAAGGAGCCTAAATGTGTTTCAGTGGCAAGAATTCAAACGTTACTCAGATGGCTCTATTAATTTGGACGATTAATTACTGCTTTAATTCGGTTTAAGTGCCATAAAGAGATTAAGGATTAGGTCAAATGGCTCCAAACTCGGCACGATAATAAGTTATTAATGAAGGAAGATTGGTGGAAAAATTCAGATTTCTAGCTTCACGTGGAAATTCGCGGCTCATCGAAATGTCTCAAAGCCTCAAAGGGTTCCATTTAACTTGCAGTCACTGTAGAAACAAATCAATTGAATGCTCACACATTGAAGCACAATCACAATACATTCATTTATCAAAGCATATTGCATCTTATATACATTTCCTTATCAAGAGATTTTTTTTCACACTAAATTTCTCTTAAAAATCATTTCTTGAAAGTCAAATGTTCAGTTGTTGTCAAAATCTCGCGAAGTAAAGATGAATTTCTTATTATTCGTGGCGTTTCTTGGAGTGAATTTCGCTTCGTTCGAAGCTCGAATTTCGGAATCTCTGAAAGTTTCTCTTTCCGACGGAAGTCAATTGATCGGTCGCTACTTGAGTTCGCATTCCGGCCGCGGAATTCGCGCCTTCTTGGGAATTCCTTACGCCGAAGCTCCGCTCGGGAATCTGCGCTTCAGAGATCCTGTGCCGAAGAGTCCTTGGACGGAAACTCTTTACGTCACTCGTGAGCCAAATGCGTGTCTCAGCATGGAATATCTGTTCAGAGGAAACGAAACTGTTGGAAGTGAAGATTGTCTCTTCTTGAATGTTTACGTGCCTCAGAATCCTGATTCAAAAGATCCTCTGCCAGTGATGGTTTTCTTCCATGGCGGAGGATTCATGAGTGGAGACGGAGGAAAAACCTTATACGGTCCAGATTATCTTCTGGATCAAGACGTTATTTTGGTTTCTGGGAATTATCGCCTGGGAATCTTTGGTTTTCTCAGCACAAACACTCTCGATTGCCCAGGAAACTTCGGTATGAAGGATCAAGTTGAGATCCTCAAATGGGTGCAGAAGAATATCGGTCAATTTGGAGGCGATAAGGATTCTGTGACGATCTTTGGTGAAAGCGCTGGAGGCGCAAGTGTGACTTATCACACAATTTCTCCGCTGTCAAAAGGACTCTTTCATCGCGCAATTCCTCAAAGTGGCACTCATCTTTCTCTGTGGGCCAAGAGAGATGGAGAAATAATCTTCAGAAATGCAAGGAAATTTGCTAGTCTTGTGAAATGTCCGGCAGACAGAGAAAATGCGAAGGAAATGATTGAGTGTCTTCGCAATTTATCGGCAAAGGAAATTATGTCGCATTTCTATGAAGTCTTCAAGTGGGATATTTTCCCTATTTGCTATTGGGTTCCTGTTGTTGAACCGGAAAGTGAAAATGCATTTCTCACTGAAGATCCTGCGAAACTATCAGGAGGAGATGACATTCCGTTCTTGATTGGAATCACGTCAAACGAAGGAATCTTTATAAGTGTTGGTAAATGTTCTTAAATTCAGTATATTTTCAAGATTCTTTTTCCCTTAACTGAGTCTTTATTTGCAGCACTTTTGAGGGATCAAAAACTCATTGAGCATCTTAAACGGGAAATTAAACATCTTTTGCCAGACTTGATGTCCTATCAAGACTACAATGAAGTCACAAGAAATACTTTAACAAATATGATAAGCGAATTTTACTTCCAGAATCATGAAGTGGATTTGAGAGACTCAGAAATGCTTCAAAATTTCACAGACGTGAGTTAAATACTCAGTCAACAATTTCGTAATATAGAAAATTCTCCTTTCATTTCAGTCAATGTCTGACGCATATTTCTTAAACGCAGTGAGTCGAATTCTAAGACAACGATCACCGGAAAGTCTCTCTTCGAACACATTCTTGTATCTCTTCAATCACATGGGCGAAAATAGTTTTTCAGAACTGTTCTTAGAAGATTCTCAAACTCAATTTGGTACAAGTTTACGAAGATTGTTCAAATTATCAATTTTCTCATTAATTCTTCTTCAATCTCCAGGAGTTTCACACATGGATGATTTGATATATTTGTTCCCTGTTGTCAAGGAACATTTCTTCAAAGGAATTCCAACAGAAACTGATGATTTCATCCGTAAAACGATGGTTTCTTTGTGGGTGAATTTTGCCAAATTCGGGTAAGTTTCAAAGCCTTTTTCGTATCGATTCTTTGCTGAGACTTTCGCTAAATTTCGCAGAAACCCAACTCCGAAATCCGACGATTCTTCGCTGCCGGAATGGAAAGTCGCCGGAAGTTTTCCGTACGATTTCTTGAGGATCGGAAATTATCACCAAAGCGACGCTCCGATCATCGCCATGGAAAACGGATTGTACGAGAAAAGAGTGCTTTTCTGGAAGAAAATTGCCTCAGTTTTGACTGAAGCTCAAATGGATGTTGATTAAAAATATCACCTAAAGTTTTTGCCACGGAATGCTTGATGATTATGCGAAACAGAGTTGCAAACATTCGAAATTTAAACATTGATATGAAGTGAAAATAAAAGACTTGGAAAGCTCGGCTGAACACGATAAGAAAATTTATATAAAAATTCTGTGGGAGTTTAAATCTTTAACGCTGAACCTCACAAGCAAGGGGGAGATAATATGCCTTGAATCTGTACAACACTTTCTGACACTTTCACAGTTTCTGTGCAGAATCTTCAACACATTCAGACACTATGAACGCCTTCAAGAGCAATTTCTGACTCATTTATGATTTATCACAATCTAATCCAGGTTTTTCCGTCTCAAGAGGTTTAAGCTCTTAAAATGCTTTGATTTCAGATCGTAAGAACTGATCTTAATATTCCAAAATTTGTTCATGAACAATTTCCATCTTGATTTGCTAGTTTTGTCTTCGGAAAATGCTTAGAAATATTCTGATCAAATTGTGAGGTTATGAATCCGGCCTTAAAAATCCTTCTTGGACTAATTTTAATCCAAGTTTTAATTCTTTCAATCCTGGAAATGAGTAAATATGACGAAAAATTCAATGTTTCTATTAGATAAAGTGACTGAATTTATCACTTTAAAGCTCAAACCACGGAAATAACTAAGCAAAAAGAGTTTTTTCTACACTAAAATGATATTTTTTGAGGTTATGATCGACTTTACCCAATCGAACCAACGAAAATGCTCAACTGTGCCAAGAAAAAGAGAAATATTCTTACTTTAAACAAAAGTTTATTTATTTCGACGGTAATTTAATCACCAAAATCTGTTTTAAATCAATCACTCAAATCGATTTTTCTAAGAGAAAATTGTTAATATAGCAAATATCACAATTTTTACGCTAATAAATGAGGTTGAATTTGCCATTTTAAGACTTAAACCACGGAAATAATGAAGCAAAGCAATTACTGAAATGATGATTTTGAGGTTATGATTGACTTTAAAGCTTTTTCTCATACAAAATGAGGTTATTTTGAGCACAAATTCTCAATTTTGTCAAGAAAAAGAGAATGATTCCCAGTTTAAATACAAATTTGATGATTTAGTGAGTTTTTTATTACCAGAATCCATTTTAAATCAATCACATAACCTAGAAAAGCAGAAAAATAGATTTTTCTAAGCAAAATAACTAAGAAAATGCCTTAATTTGTTGAAATTGAAGCTTTTGCACAGAAAATTTTCATCATATTTTAACACTTTCAATTTTTAACACTTCCACAGAAGCTGTACACCACTTCCGACCGTAATATCTGTCCTTTGCTCACAATTTCACAAAATATCTATCACTCAATAGAGGCTTCAACACTCACACAATTATACAAAAAATGTAATCACAGAACATTATTACATAATCAAAACACGTTGCATAACATTATTTTTAATTCATTATCAGGAGATTTTTTTCTAGTTTCGGCATATATTCTTTAAAAACTCTCAGACTATTGAATGTTCAGTTGTTGTCAAAAACTCGCGAAGTGAAGATGAATTTCTTATTATTTGTGGCGTTTCTTGGAGTGAATTTCGCTTCGTTCGAAGCTCGAATTTCGGAATCTCTGAAAGTTTCTCTTTCCGACGGAAGTCAATTGATCGGTCGCTACTTGAGTTCGCATTCCGGCCGCGGAATTCGCGCCTTCTTGGGAATTCCTTACGCCGAAGCTCCGCTCGGGAATCTGCGCTTCAGAGATCCTGTGCCGAAGAGTCCTTGGACGGAAACTCTTTACGCTGATCAGGAAGCGAACGCGTGTCTTGGAGTTGAATATCTTTTTGGTGTCACAGAATCAGTGGGAAATGAAGATTGTCTCTATTTAAATGTTTATGCGCCTCAGAATCCTCAGTCAAAGGATCCTCTGCCAGTGATGGTGTATTTTCACGGCGGTGGTTATCAAAGTGGAAACGGAGGGAAAATTTTCTACGGTCCCGATTATCTTCTGGATCACGATGTTATTCTTGTTTCTGGGAATTATCGACTGGGAATCTTTGGTTTTCTCAGCACAAACACTCTCGATTGTCCTGGCAATTTTGGACTCAAGGATCAAGTTGAGATCCTCAAGTGGGTTCAGAAGAACATCGGACAATTCGGTGGTGACAGAAATTCAGTGACAATCTTTGGACAAAGCGCTGGAGGCGCAAGTGTGACTTATCACACAATTTCGCCACTGTCAAAAGGACTCTTTCATCGCGCAATTCCTCAAAGTGGCACTCTTTACTGCCTTTGTGCTAAAAGGGATGAGCAAGTTTCTGCCACAAATGCACGGAAACTGGCAGAAGCAGTGAAATGTCCTAAAGATGATGCGAAGGAAATGATTGAATGTCTTCGAAGTTTGTCTTCAAAGGAACTAATTTCTCACTTTCACGACTTCTTCACTTGGGATGTTTATCCACTGGTTTTCTGGGGTCCTGTTGTAGAGCCGGAAAGTGAGAAAGCTTTTCTCACTGAAGATCCTTCGACAGTAGCAAGAATTGATGATATTCCTCTCATGATTGGAATTACATCAAACGAAGGATCAATGATAAGTAGTGGTGAGAAAATGGCTTCCAAAGACTTTTTATTTGCAAATTTTAAGAGTCAATTTCTTTATTTTCAGCCTTATTGCGTAAACAATCTCTTATCGACGATGTTAAGCGGAAATTGAATGTTATTTTGCCAGATATTCTTGGCTATCAAGATTTCTGCGAAGATAAAAAACACAATTTAACAAATATGATAAACGAATTTTACTTCCAAAATCGTGAAGTCGACTTGAATGATCCGGAAATGTTTCAAAAATTCACAGATGTAAGTTTTATTTACTCTATTGTTTGTGTGTTTAATACTTGTTTTCGTTTCAGTCCGTTTCTGATGCTTATTTTCTGAATGGTTTGAATGTAATTTTGAAATTACGCTCGCCAGAAAGTCTCTTGTCGAACACATTTTTGTACCTCTTCAATCACAGAGACGAAATAAGTTATTCAGAATTATATATGGGAAAACGCGAACCTGATCATGGTAGAAAATGTTTTAAAATAACTTTTGAAATCCGTTAATTTGATCTTCATACAATTTGAACAGGAGTTGCACACATGGACGATATAATCTACTTATTTCCTGTCATGAAAGAGCTTTTCTTCAAAGGAATGCCGACAGAAACTGATGATTTCATCCGTAAAACGATGGTTTCTTTGTGGGTGAATTTTGCCAAATTCGGGTGAGTTTCAAAGCCGTTTTTTCTTATCGATTCTAAAGGGGAAATAATTATGCCTTAAATCCATACACCACTTCTTAAACACTTTCAAATTTGCCTCTTAAGTTTCTATCCAAAATTTCTGTATGAAACCATTTTATTGCGTTTTTTTTTGGCGTCTTTTCCGACCATAACCTCAAAATATCACTAAAAAATCTTAAAAAACTCAATTTTAAAGCTTTCTAGATCACAAAATCATCTCTTATGATTTGTCAATGAACTCAAAATTGCTAATTCAGAGTCAGAATCTTATAGAAAGTCTCCTAAATCAACATTTTTCAACCCCAAATGCCTCTTTTTAAGGTTATGTTGAATCTTGACACCATTTTCAGTACTTTTTGATATCAATATCTGTGAAAAACATTGTTTCTTACATATAAATGCTTAATTCTGCCAATGACTGAAGATCTCTCTGACTTGAACATAAGAATTTATGTGCTAGAATTGCGAATTGTTCACTAAATCCATTCTTCATTGGTTAAATAACCTAGAAAAAGTATTAATTTGACTGTTTCTACATAAAAACTAAAAGAAATCAAAAGAAAATTAGACAATATGTCAATAAAAGAAGCGCTCAGGATAGAAATATTGTAGATTTTTGAACACTTCCACTTCTCAAGACTTTCACTGATCCGTACACCACTTCTCACTATATTATCCCCCCCTTGACCGATTCTTTACTGAGACTTTCGCTGATTGTCGCAGAAATCCAACTCCGAAATCCGACGATTCTTCGCTGCCGGAATGGAAAGTCGCCGGAAGTTTTCCGTACGATTATTTGAGGATCGGAAATTATCACCAAAGCGACGCTCCGATCATCGCCATGGAAAACGGATTGTACGAGGAAAGAGTGCTTTTCTGGAGGAAAATCAACTCAGAATTGTTCGGAAACTAAAAAGACGCTGATTGGAAATACCTTTATTATGTTTATGTTGACTGTTTTGGCGTGAAATTAAAGGACTTTGAAATATATTTTCTGTGTCGATTAAGTACGCAGAAATCCTAATAATGACAGTTATTCACAAAAGTATGTTTATCGGCTAATTTTCACACAGAAGCTCGAATTTATGTTCACGTAGGTTTTCATGAAAAATTACAACGACACTAAGAAATATTTTTATACCCAATTTCTTATAATTCATGATTGTTTTATAGACGAATGCAGGCTATTTTTGTACTTATTTTATTTCAATAAACTTCCAGTAATTAGACATTAACTTGTTGTCACTAATTAAAGGAATGTCGTGACGTTTTTAGCAGTTTTTCTGATCAAACTGTGTATTATAAATGATTCTCAGTCCAGCGATTGTTCAGTTGCTGTGAAAATCTCGCGAAGTGAAGATGAATTTCTTATTATTCCTGGCGTTTCTTGGAGTGAATTTCGCTTCGTTCGAAGCTCGAATTTCGGAATCTCTGAAAGTTTCTCTTTCCGACGGAAGTCAATTGATCGGTCGCTACTTGAGTTCGCATTCTGGCCGCGGAATTCGCGCCTTCTTGGGAATTCCTTACGCCGAAGCTCCGCTCGGGAATCTGCGCTTCAGAGATCCTGTGCCGAAGAGTCCTTGGACGGAAACTCTCTACGCCGCTCGTGAGCCAAATGCGTGCTTGAGTGTGGATTATATATTCAGAAGTAGCAATAAAACGATCGGAAGCGAAGATTGTCTGTACTTGAATGTTTACGTGCCTCAGAATCCTGATTCAAAGGATCCTCTGCCAGTGATGGTTAACTTCCATGGCGGAGGATTCATGACTGGACATGGAGGAAGAAAGTACTTCGGTCCAGATTATCTTCTGGATCAAGATGTTATTCTTGTTTCTGGAAACAATCGACTGGGAATCTTCGGTTTTCTCAGCACAAACACACTCGAATGTCCAGGAAACTTTGGTATGAAGGATCAAGTTGAGATCCTGAAGTGGGTGCAGAAGAATATCGGTCAATTTGGTGGCGATAAGGATTCTGTGACGATCTTTGGACAAGGAAGCGGAGGAGTTTGCGTAACTTATCACACAATTTCTCCACTGTCAAAAGGACTCTTTCATCGTGCAATTGCTCAAAGTGGCACGCATTTCTCCAAATGGGCTCAACGAGATAGTGAAGTATCAGCCGCAAATACGAGAAAATTGGCTGAGAAATTGGAATGTCCAGCAGAAGACGTGAAGGAAATGATTGAATGTCTTCGCAATGTTCCGTCGGAGGATCTTATCTCTCTCTTGAGTGACTTCTTCACTTGGAATGTCTATCCGCTGGTGCTTTGGGCTCCTGTTGTTGAACCGGAAAGTGAAAATGCATTTCTCACTGAAGATCCTGCGAAACTATCAGGAGGAGATGACATTCCGTTCTTGATTGGAATCACGTCAAACGAAGGATCTATAATAAGCACTGGTAAGCTCTAAAAATACTATCTTTATTCTTGCAGAGTTGAAAATATTTCTTGTTTTCCCAGGATTGATGCGAGAACAAAATCTTATTGACGAAGTTAAGAGTAAATTGAATGTTCTTCTGCCGGATCTTTTCATCTATGGAGATTACAATGAAGAGATAAGAAGCAGTTTGACAAATATGATAACTGAATTTTACCTCCAGAATCGTGAAGTCGACTTGAATGATCCGGAAATGTATCAAAAGTTTACAGATGTAAGTTTAATATGTTCGTTTGAATATGTTTTTGATGCTCAGTTGAGGAATTTTAATGGTTTTCAGTCAGCCACTGACACGTGTTTCTTGAGCGGATTAAGTGTTTTCCTGGAAAAACGGACACCGGAAAGTCTCTCGTCGAACACATTTTTGTACCTCTTCAATCACAGAGGCGAAAGCAGCTATGCAGAAGTTCAACTGGGAAATCCCGAAATTGATCATGGTAAAAATCAGTGAAAACCCAAAATCTTGACTTTTACAACGACTTTTCTTCAAATTTTTCAAGGTGTCGTAAATATGGACGATATAATTTACTTATTTCCTGTCATGAAAGAACTTATCTTCAAAGGAATTCCAACAGAAACTGACGATTTCATCCGGAAAACAATGGTTTCTTTGTGGGTGAATTTTGCCAAATTCGGGTGAGTTTCAAAGCCGTTTTTTCTTATTGATTCTTTGCTGAGATTTTCGCTGAATTTCGCAGAAACCCAACTCCGAAATCCGACGATTCTTCGCTGCCGGAATGGAAAGTCGCCGGAAGTTTTCCCTACGATTTCTTGAGGATCGGAAATTATCACCAAAGCGACGCTCCGATCATCGCCATGGAAAACGGATTGTACGAAGAAAGAGTGCTTTTCTGGAAGAAAATCAACTCGGAATTGCTTGGAAATTAATAAAAAGACACTGATTGAGAATATTTAATAACATTTTTTTATGAACGCTTGATGAATTATGTTTCTTCTTTCCTTTATCTGGACTTTTTCTTAAAGAAAATTAAAGAAAATATTCTAGACGTGCGTTTTATGCGTGAAATACGAGCAACTTGACGAGCAAAAAGGTTTGTTTTGCACTTTTTTCATGACTGGATAAGAAATATGACACATTTTGCGTTGAAGTCAACAATCTTTCAGATAAAAATAGTTTTATTGTTCATTAAGTTCATTTAGAAGCCTTTCACGTATTCTTGGTGTAACAAATTAAGGAAAACAATGATTAAAAATAGCAAAATAATTTGAGAAGTTTTTGAATAGAAGCCCTGAAAGCTCTATAAAACACCAGACTTGATAAGAAAACGAGTGTATTTGTGGCTCTGTCTTGTGCTTGAACACACTGAGATGGTAGAATACGAAGGAGCGAGGAAGATAATATACAAAAGCTAAGCAATTTTATCCTTTCGTGGACACAATCAATATTGTAAATCCTCGGCATGAGAAATCCTTCCAGCGTTATGTGAGGCAAACTTGCAGACTTATTGTGCGTTTGTTTATATTCATTATTTGCAGAAAGCTAGAGAGAATCCTTATTTACCAGAGCGATATCCTCTAAATCTCCTATTATTCTACGCACACGAGTCCAGAAAATTTTATCAACTTCTATCCTTTTACAAGATAACAGCCAGAAGAAAGATATCCTGGCGATTATTTATGAAAAATTATGTGTTTTTATGCAGTGCAGAATTCTTCCTTTTCTGTTTCCTTCAAAATTGAGCCTGTTTTGTATTTAATAACCTAAGAAATTCACACGGTTTGTGATATTTAGAAAGCAAGTCTAAAAGTTTACTTGAGAGTCGTTGCAACTTTTCAGATTTCGTATTTCAGTTTGTAAAAGCTACGAATTTGCTATGCAACTTTACGCTTTTCATAGCTTATATTAGAGTTCGCCAGATGGCGCCTAGTGTAGAGTATGAATAAAATTAAACGGAAATGGATCCAACACGGACAAGACATCTCCATCTGTGACTTTCTTTGACATTGAGTGTGTTTAGAACAGATTTCTTGAAGGACTCTGCTGGCCAAGATGTTCAGAAAGTTGATTTCGCTGTGACATTTCAGCACAGCTGTATTTCCGTGCATGTCACGCCATCTGGTGCATTGAAAAGTGCACAAATTAAGTGTCAATTTGTGCTAATCAATCTGAAGACGTCATTATTGTCAATTTCCTTGATTTTCAAGTGAATTTTCTGGCTCTTCTTGGCTTTCTTATCAAATAAATTCTCCACTTTCATAAATGTTATGAATTGCAATCTTGCAACGCATTTTTACGGATTCATAACTTTGACAGCTTGTTTAAAATGTTATGAAAATAAAGTTGCAACGACCGCTAATTAAAGATTGACGTTAAAATCTTCCCACAAACTGAAGATTCTTGTCTGCCAATAGAAAAGATTATTGAAACAATTTCTTGGAAAATGTCCATCATCATGTAAACTCGACATTTTTCAATTTATCACAACATTCTACGATTCTTTTCCACCAAGTTTTGTGAAATCAATTCTTGGGAAGTTTATTAAATTGCGACATTGGAATTTCATTTATGGAAAATCCGTGTAAATGCGAGCATTGCTGAGGTCTATGATGAGGAAGAGGAGCAAAGTGACTTGTGTCCCTCGAGCACTATAATCCGATCCTTCGTCCTCACCCACCATCGCCAGAGAGGACTTTTTGCGAAGTGAGGGAGAAGAAAGGACAAAAAAGTTCACATGAAAGGTGAAAAGGACTCTTGTATGGCTATTCCATGTTGTGGTGTCAATTTATCGCCATATTCACTCTCTTTCATCCTCGAGAGATCATCTTTCATGCGTTCTTTTTTTCCCAATCTATTTTCACTCCTTCGGCCGTTTTATAGCAAAATGCTGTTTTCTCTGCTGATGCAGAAGAGCGAATTGAAAAATGTATTTAGGTAAATTGCACGCTATGTACATTCCTAAATGAATATTGTGTAATCTCTGTACATTAGGTACAATCCATCGCATAAAGCAAGGGGAGGATAATGTGCCCTCAATCTGTACACCACTTCTGAACACTTCCAAGTGTGCTTGAGACATGCTTTGTCCACTAATTCTTGAATTATAATCATTTCCATACGTTTTAATCTCATATTTCTACAAATAAACACTTAAAACCGCTTGTTTTGAGCGTCTTTTCGGAACATAACCTCAAAATATTACCAAGAAATCTTCAAAGACGCCGTTTTGAAGCTTTTTAGATCACAAAATCATATGGTTTGATTCGCTAATTAACCTTAAAATTGCTGATTGTGAATCAAAATCATCCATAATCAATATTTTTGAGGTTATGTTCAATTTTTGCACAATTTTCAGTGTGTTTTAACATCAAATATACAAAATCGAAATTTTTATCCATGCAAATGTCTAATTCTGTCAATTATTGACAATCTCTTCGACTTTAGCACGAGAACTATTCAACAAATCAGTCCTTGATTCGTTACAAGGGGGAGATAATTAGCCTAAATCTGTACACCACTTCCAAACACTTCCAAACACTTCCAAATTTGCCTGACAATTCAAGAACATGAAGTTTTTATATTGTTTCCACATTCATTCCCAAATATGTCTGTAAGAATCCATTTAAGAACACATTTGGACACCTTTTCCGACCATAACCTCAAAATATAACAGAATAATCTTCAAAAACTCAGTTTCGAAGCATTCTAGATCACAAAATGATCTAGATTTGCCAATGAATTCATAGTTAAAATTCTCCAAAACGCTTTCTATATGAACATTTTCCTGGTATAAATGACTATTTTTGAGGTTATGTTCCAGTTCAATACAACTTGCAGTTTTTCTTGGCATCAAATGTTCAAAAAAGAACTATTTATTGCATATAAATGCTTAATTCTACCAATAAATAACAGTTTTCACGGATTAAGCATAAGAATTGATGTGCTAAATTGCGAATTATTCACTAAATCTGTTCTTGATTCTTTACATAACCTCGAAAAAGGATTATTGTGATTATTTCTTTGTTAAAATCGGAAGAAATCTAAAGAATAAGGATAATTTGTCAGTGAATAAGGCACTTAGGAAAGGAAGATTGTGTGCTTTTGAATACTTCCACTTCTTAAGTACTTCTGCTGAGTTGTACACCACTCGTGACTGTATTATCTCCCCCTTGATTTGTTACATAACCTAGAAAAAGGATTATTTTGATTGTTTGCAGCGCAAAAATGAAGGGAAATCCAAAGAATCGGGACAATTTGTCAAAGAAAGAAGCACCAGGAAAAAGAATATTGAAGGTTTTTGTGTACTTACGAAGACTTCCGGTGAGCTGTACACCACTCGTGACTGTATTATCTCCCCCTTGGCGACAAGGTGAGTCTGTTGACTATGGGAAAAGTGTTGCTGAGAGCATTACAGTCCATCTCCTCGACACCAATGATGATTATGACATTGAGGAATGAAAGGGCTTCCGACGCTGTCGTTTACTCTCACGCATCCCCTGGCTTTCCACCCTCTTCTCAGGGGTGGCCGAAGATACCGCTCATAGCCGTCAGAAAGTTGACGAAGGCTTTTGTGCACCGCACATAAATACAACGGACGCTCAAGTGAGGAAAAACAGAGATCATCTATAATTTATTGTCGTTTTGGGATTTTTTTTTTCTTTCCTAACCCCGGCCTAGAAAGTTTGTTCACGATCCAGCAAGCGCCCCTCACGAGAACTTTTTTCCTTCTTCTTCTTCTTGGGGATCAAAGTTGAAAGTTATCAGCGCATTTGGCGAGTGTTTCTCTGAATTTAGAGCGCGTATTTTCAATGTGAATTGCGCGAGCGAATCATTAGCAATTGTCATTCTTCGTCATCACTCATCGCTGAAAAGAAGTGTGTATAGTGGAAATTTGGGGGTGGTTTTTTGGGTGCGGGAAAATTTTGGGCGAAATACATCAAAAACAGCCACAATCTCTGGGTGATGGCCATGATGGCACTCTCCTCACGACACGCGTCACAATGTCAAGAGAGAGCGCGAGAGCTTTGGCTCTCGCGTGGAGAGTCTCATGCGCACAACATCCCGATGGCTCTGGAGATGAATCTGCGAAGAGAGAGAGATGCCCCACCCGCAAATACCAGAGAATGCCTTTTCCTCAGTCTGATCTAGACCTCTTCCACGCGAGCAACCCTTGCGCGGTGTCGGTGGCGGTGAAGAAAAAGGGCCACTCAAAACCTTCTGCAGCCCTCACAATTGATAGATCAGCGTGATTGTGTCGGTGGTGAAGTCCACGGCATCTGCTGAAGGGAGGAGTGTCTGGACACAGAGTGATTTACCCCCAAAAGAATTGCTCAAGAGCCCCGCCGAAAAGAAAAGTCCCAATCATCAATCTGCACAGCGTCTGCAGAGGAGAGAATCGTGTGTTTGTCCTCAAGGAGAAAACGAATTTGAGCATTTGAGACATTTTCGAAGGACTTTTTACCTCTAATTACTATATAGCAAAAGACAGAGAGAGAAACAGTTGTCTTGGTGTTAAAGCAATTATGGTGCTGATTGTGACTCTGGCTGGAGTGAAGGCAATTTGAAAGTCAATCCCTGCTTTAAGGGGGGAGGAAAACATCCTGTTCCAAGAGTGATCAAAGCGAATTTGGGGGAAAAAAAATGGGGAGTGTTCCATTGGAATAAGGTCACACACACCACACACAGTCTTTCACTCCTCGAGTCTGAATTCTTCAACCCTTGTCTTTTGCCTACAAAGTAGCACTTTGACAACCTCACACCCTCAACCGCCAGCGTCAGACAACAAAAGCTCTTTAGACGAGGAATATCAGTGTGTCGAGTGCTTTCTCTCTCTCTCTCCCCGCAATTCCTAGCCCGAGAACCACCCCCGCGCTTCATCGTACATTCCGGGGGATGCAGAGGAAGCTTCTTCCACATCACAGAGCCAGTCTGACTGAATTATCGGCGGAGCCTCGTGGGGCCCTGGCGAATGGGGCGTGATAGAGAAATGTGTCTCAGTGTTGGCCTAAAGTGATCTCGATACTCTCAACACACTGAAATTCATCATCCCCCAGCGGAAAAAAGGGCAGCAGCAGAAAGAACTGCAATTTCTCAACGGCAGCGTGACAATTTCTCACAAATCTGCCGAAGAACATTTTCCACTCAATCGTCAATTTTGCGAACAATGTGGAATTAAAATATTATATAGTGTGTGACAACAAAAAAATACCACTCCTCTGAATTACATAATCTTCGTGCGCGTCTCTTTTCTCCTCTCTCCTCTCTTTGGGGGGGTGGTTTTCTCGTGAAAATTTTCGTACATTTTCACCAATTCCAAAGAACTGCGAGTGGCAAAGAAGAAGAAGAGAAAAAAACTCTGTGGCAGAAGAAGGAAAAGTGAAGAATTTAATAAAATGTTCCAGTGTGTGGAAAACGTTTAGTGCGATTGTGAGCTACAATGATACATTCACCACCCACTGTGACCATTTCAGTGGCAGAAACATCAGAGGCAAGCAAGTAAGGAAATTTTCGACACATTTTCCCTCTTAAGCGAATATTTGTGGTGTCTCAAGTTGACCTTCAAAGCATTGTCCGCACTAAAAGTTGCCCAAGAAACAATCCCACGAAAAGCTCCTCAGTTTAGGAACCTTTTTGGTGTTAATTTTTCGCCAATTTCTCTATACTTCCCACTCGAGAACAAACAATTCATCGGAAGAGACTAATTAAAAGAGCTTTCACGACCTCAGCAAAAATTAATTTCTAGATGCTTTCTATTTATATTGTTGTAAGAAGATGATTCTTTTTTAATGTCCAGATATTTCAGGAGATTGAAAACTTTTTTTATTACGTGACCACTGAGACATGTAAGAGAAACTGGAGATGTTTGAAGAAAAACAGCCTCAATTCTTGCCTTTTTCGTTCTGAACTCTTTAAGAAAGTTGTGGTAAATCTCATACGAATTGTTTCATTTGAGCTCAGAAGGGATTAAAAATTAATTGAAATTGGACTCTTGGGAAATTTCTGTATAGTTCTGTTAATTTATCGTAATTAAAATCAATCTTCTGTGTTGTTTTGGGCCTATTTTTATTCTCTCCGACACCAAAATCCATTGAAAAACCGTCGTTTTACGCCTTTTCTTCCTTGAAGTAACTTCAAACGATAATTTCTCTCGATTTCCACAAGAAAAACTACTAAAAATCGCAAGGAATTGGGTCCATAACCCAATTCCTTGCTGCAATTGGATCATTAGCTTTCCAACGATGCCTCACTTGGCGCCCTAGACGCTCAGGTTCTCCTCCTGGAGCCTATTTTCCCATATTTTCCCTCACTTTGTCGCACATTTGTTCTTATATCTCACCCAATTTTTCACGGATTTTCCCCAAATTGGGCTCAAATGATAGATATTGAAATTATCTACAACTTTGTAAAACAGTTTGGGTATCTTAGATCACTCCTTGTTGAATAAAAATGTTCTTTTGTGCGCCAATTAGGAAAAAATTCGCTGGTTTTTCGGTCACATTTTACTAAATATCTCCGAAACGAAGAAACTTTTATATCAGATTATTTTTCCTATATATAGAGCACTTCTGAGGCTCCATTTCCCATATATATGTCAAAGCGATACTTCTTCTTCATCTTCCTGAAAAACAGGGTTTTCCCTCGACAAGTTTCACGGTCCGAACATCCTAAGTAGACAGAATTTGGACTTCTTTAAGTGAAAATTCAGATGATAATGATAAGATTTTTAAATAAATGAAGGAAAAATTCAATTCCTCGGCTCACTTGTTGTCATTAAGATCAACTGAAGTTTATTTCGCAAAGTTTTCACGCCTTCTCGATGAAAATTAATGGAAAAGACGCAATTTTCTTGAATCCAATGCGAAAATTATTATTAAAATTATATTATAACAAGAAGAGAGATCTCTTATCAAGTCAGGCTTAAGAGGTCAGGAAAGACAGAGGATTTTCCCACAGGAATCCTCATTTGATGGTGAAAAACCGTGGACACAATTCGTCACAATTTGTTCTAAAAATACACTTTTTTAGGAATGTTATCGGATTTTTCATTGAAAATCCATCAGAATTCCGTCATGACTGTTTTTACTGTGTGTAATTAAATATGTTCAGTGTTTTTACAGCTTGAAGCTTTCTTTTAAAATCACCTACAATGCTTACAACACACATATAAACTATGTAGAGAAATCGTTTCCTGTTTCATTGTAAGTCAATGCACATTATGTAAACACAGTGATTATTTTCAGAAGCATTAGATTGTTGCATTGTCACTATTGATTATTTGTGGAGTGTAATTGAAATTTAATTGTGACAGGACAGCTAAACTCACCTGTCCACTTAATTACTTCGCCAGGCATGGAATTTCCAATGGAGCACGTTTTATTTGAAGTCATCGACAATATTTATCCACAGAATGTGAAAATCATTTCCTTGCAAACATTTGCGAGAAGCAAGGGGGAGATAGCGTGGTCGGAAGTGGTGTACAACTCAGCAGAAGTTATTAGGAAGTAAAAGTGTTAAAAACAATTACAATATTCACTTCCTGAGTGCTTCTTTTAATGCGAAATTATCCAAATTCTGTAGATTTCTGCGGATTTCTTTTAATTTCTAACGTAGAAACAATCACAATAATCCTTTTTGAGGTTATGTGACGAATCTATGATGTTTTTAGTGAATAATTCGCAATGTAAGACATCAATTCTTATGCTAAAGTCGGAAAGATCGACAGCAATTGGCAGAATTAAGCATTTGCATGCAATTAACATTGTTTGTCTGATCCTTTTGAAGCCAAGAAGCACCGAAAATTGTGGTTAAGTTGAACATAACCTCAAAAATAATCATTTAGAAACCCTTCTGAACGACTTTGTGTCTAAATCAGCAATTTTGTATTCAATAGAAACTCATAAAAGATGATTTTGTGATCCAGAAAGCTTCCAAAAAAGGCTCTAAAGATCTTTTGGTGATATTTTTAGGTTATGATTGGAAAGATACTTTAAAAAACGCTTTTAAATGAATTCTTACAGAAATATTGGATCATAAATTCTTATGCTAAAGTCAGAAAGATCGAAAGAAAATGGCAGAATTAAGCATTTTCATGCACTAAAATTGCTTTTCTCTACCTTTTAATGCCAAGAAACACTTAAAATTGTGCTAAGGAGCAACATAACCTCACAAATAATCTCAAAAATAGTCATTTTGATCTGGAAAAAGCTTATTTAGAAAACTCTCTGAATCATTTTGACTTCTGACGAACGATTTTCACTTCATTGTTGAATGATTACAAATGATTTTGTGATCTTAAAACCTTCTAATCAAAGTTTTTGAAGATCTTTCGGTAATATTTTAAGATTATGGTTGAAAAAATGCTCGAAAAAATGCTTTTAAAATGGATTTTTACAGAAAAATTTGATAGAAACTCAACAGATTCATTGTAATTTGAGAATTTTTTGCAAACAACCTAAAAATTTCATGTGCTGGAAATGTTAAGAACTGGTGTACAGATTTAAAGCATATTATCTTCCCCTTGGCGAGAACTGAGTGGCAATTTTACTGCGAAAGCAACTAAACCAGATCCTGATTTCGTCCCTTAAATTGTAGTGTAATTACGGCGCAAATATATTGCATTACTGGCGAGGCAAATTAGATGAAAGTTTGATGTGATGATTGAATTAAATATTTCAACGCAACATCGCAGGCGATATGATGAAGTGACTTGTAATGTGTGCACCCTAATTCTGGCATCCGCGAACCCGCGCGACTGACTTGCGTACGCAGGAATAGTAATGGAATTTCCATAATATAATTACACGGTAATGGCATCTATTTGAAGATTGGCACAGCGACACCATTAAAATTTCACTCACTTTGTTCGTATGATAAAAGTGGCGGCGCGAAAAGCTCTTCTCGCGCCTCAAGACTTTCGCAGTTGTTGCCCCACAATTCGCAGCCAAGTCAATAATACACTCAGCGAAAAATATCTTATGATTGCAATTAACTACGTCGTCATAACGCCGTAAGACATTGTAAATGTTACGAAGTTTACGAAAAATCAAAGTTCCTCAAAAGCTTCGTGAATTCGTAATAAAATTGTGAGAAATCAACTACGCTCGTAGTAAATACTATAATGGGTGCTTTATAAGGTTGTAAGCAACCAAATATCATGAAATCAACTACGCCGTAGTTAATATCATAACGTTTTTATGCCGTAATTCTTTTCAGACCAAAGAAAATCAACTACGCTCGTCATGAATATTATAACGGCGTAATAAAGTCATAATTCAAAGCTTCGACTCCGAAAAATCAACTACGCGTTATAAATACGATTACGCGTTATAATATTTATTACGTTTTTGCCCTGGAAAATCAATTACGCCGTCATAAATTCCATTACGTGTTATGCCATTGACAGCGTTTCACTCATTTGACCTAGAAAATCAACTACGCGTTATAAATTATATTACGCGTTATAAAATATGAAAGCATAGTAATTATTTACTATGCGCAATGGCGTTGTAAATGTAATAACGTGATATTTACGCGATAAAGAATGAAACGTAATAAATGGTATAACGCGCAATGGCATTTATGACGCGTAGTTGATTTTCTGCGGCTAAAAAAGCTTATCCTGGCGCTTTGATATAACGCTTATCCATTACGCGTTGTGGTATTTACAACGCGTAGTTGAAAGCTTGGCCAAAAGCCACATTATGATATTAACTATGACGTTATGTGTATTACAACGTATTTCCCCTCTTTTCTCTGTGTGTAGTCTTAGTGGAAATCGGAGGGAGAAGTAAAACCTTCTATAATTGGCACAATTTCAACTAACAAACACTCCGGATATCCCAGGGAAAAAGCTCTCCCTCTTTGTCAATTGATTAATTCCTTATCCGCATTTGTCTCTGTGAATTTTTAATAACTCCCAGAGACTTTTGTCTGTCTTGCAACTTTCATTAATACTTATAACGCCTCACGACAGGCACTCTTCTTCTTACGCCCCAGAGACTGAAATTTTCATGGAATAAGAAAAGATGTTTGAACAGTGGAGAATCTGAGACGTTAACATACTTTAACAGTTGAGTTCATTCGCCACATAGCGTGCAAATACAGCAATATTTACAATCTTCATTAAGACATCTCGCAAAAGTTCTAATTTCATAATTTCAAAAAGCTCCCGGCTTTATTAGCTTCTTTAAATACTCTCTGAGACATTATTAGAAAGAAAATATTCCGAGGCGAGGTTAAAGAACTGTCAAAGGTTTTTCGTATCTGAAATTAATAAAAATCTCTCCTCATTTGCTCTGTTTTCTCACTCTGCATATTAAATATTATATTAAAAATTCATGGCTTCACAAAGAATAAATTGCATAAAGGCTATATTAACTAAAAGTTGAGCTTTCAGTTGAGCAATTGAGTCTGAATTATCAAAGTTGCGCCTTTTGAGAAATGTTCATTTCGACGGATTCTTCGAAAACCAGCAAAAGCCAAAATCGCCAATGCGA